GCCAGCGAGAACGGATTGCATTATTATGTAGAGAGTGAAACGCTCTGATAAGTACATTCATAAGATCGTTACGTCCGTTTGTCTGTCTGTCAGTCCGTCTGTTTGTCCGATAACTCATGAACAAAACGACATTCGGGCTTGAATATTGAAACACATAACCTATGTATTCATGACAAGGGGCAAAATGGGCACTGTTGGTCACAAGGTCACGGTGGTAGGTCAAAGGGCATGATTTTTTTTAAACTTTTGACATCATGAAATCGATAGTAAAGAGCTATTCAACGAATACATATGTCATTTTGACATATGCTGACCCAGTGACCGTGTGGGCGAGGTCAAAGGTCACATAGTTTCTTGCGCCTTGCAGGTCAAAATAACTGCAAGAAACAACTTTCTTCCTGTAATTTTATGCAAGCGGTTACTTTCACCTGAAATACGCCTACCCTTCCAACGGAATATGTATGCATTTCGCCTATAGTGACTGACCTTGACCGTGTGAAAAGGTCAAAGGTCACATATATCTAGAAAACCTTCTTCAATTTTACCCAATTTTAAACCTGCCACACTGAACCAAAATCATCTTTTCCACCTCAACTTTCACCCCTTCGTTACATCCGTTTTTCCCCATTTATTTGATCCGACCCCGACTTTTCTTCCTCTCCATCCACTCCATCCAATCCACAGCATCAGCAGAGAAATCAATGTCTGTTCTTTATGCAGATATGGCTGGAAGTAGGTTGCTTTTCTGGTTAGGAGTGCTTTTGTCCCTTTCCCCGCATGACTTGACTTCCTCATTTGTTCAGGAGTACGAACGACGACGCGACGACGACGACTGGATCTAATATTGAATTGACGCGTAATCTGGTCCTTTTATTCACATAAATTAATGTGACATCAAACCATCACCACAACCACGACTACCAGAACCAGAACCACCACGACCATGCCATATATATTGAGGACTTGAACCATAAATGAAACCTAATTAGAGAGACCAGTATGACTTTTCGCGTTATTAAGTGGTAGCATAAGCCACCACTTTTTGTGATCATTTTGTCTGTCCGTTCGTCTGTCTGTCCATTGGAAAGCGGAATATCTTCACGACATAATCAACCCACTGTCCATTGAACTTCCACTTTTTAGTTTTCGGTCGAGTTCGAAAATGGGGTCAAGGTCAAAGGTTTGACCTTAATTTTCGCATGTGGTGCAATTTATTTTAACAACAGATCAACGTCTTTAGTATGTATTTTAGAGATCTGACCAACCCATGACCGTGAGCACGAAGTCAAAGGTCAAAAAATGCATAATTGTCATATATGGTGTCAGTTTAAAGGAAAGTTCACCACGAATTCAGCCCCTCCAATCAATATTTTTGACCGTGACCACGAGGTCAGAGGTCACAAAATACATAAGTGCTTGAACATATTGTGTCATTTTAAAGGCTTTGCGCCAATTCAATTCTCTTTGACGCCACTTTATTACGTTCGTTTGACCCGGTTTATTACCGAAGAATAATAGATAATCCACTCTATTCTGCCCACTCGGAAATATCCGCTCCGGTGAAGAGGACGTAACTCAAAGAAAATTAGAGTGGCGTCCGTCAGTCAATGGCGTATCTGAATATTAAATGAATGGGGAATCCGAGACGACGATATTTTGGATACGGGTGGCGACAAGAGACAAGAGAAAGACAGAGAAAGCTCTTTTGTGTCCAGGTTGAGACTTGACTTTCTGTCCGCTCCAGTGATCCAGTGGTCTCGTCTAAGGATTGATGTATACAGGTCATCAATGAATAAAATCGGTGCCAAACAGACATAACAAAGTGGCTTTAAAGAGATTGAAATTTCCTTTAAACTTATGTTTAAGAATTAGTATTAGTAATTTTTGATCTTTCACCTCACGGTTGGAAATGACACCACATATGAAGATTAAACTCTATTTTGCCCTTTGACCTCACCCCAGGGTCAACTTGACCTTGACTACAGAGACCCAATTTTCGAACTTGACAAAGAACTATTTAGGAATTACAATCGCAAAAGCGTCATTGGACTATGTTGATTTTAGGATTCTGGCATGGACAGACATACGGGCGGACAGACAAACCGATCACAATAAGCAGCTCACCCCACTTAATAAATATAAATGCGACCTCTGCAGTGAAAGCGGGGGCAGCAGCATGAGAAGGATCGATTGTCTCACCTTTCTCCGACTAACAAAGGACGACTCAATCCAATCCATCTCGTCATGATCTATCTAATCCCATCGTCCTTTTTATGATTGCATTTCAACCAGGATTTTATATCCGGTCGGGATGATGGTGATCCTGGATCAGTGGCCGCGGAAGCGTGGGTGGGAACAGAGGGACAATGTCCCCACGGTTGTTCGATGTCCGCATCATCTGCCCATGTTATATAAACCCGTCCCTCCCCTATCTTACAATGTTAACGTCCCCCAATGTCCCCACAGCATCCGCGGCCACTGTTGCAGCCCATATATGACGAAGTGGTCAGTCTCTCGCATGGTGGGCTGGTTGGACTGGATCGGAAGTGGTTTTGGGGCAATCGCATCTCTTTTTTATGACCATTTATTTTATAGCTTCCTTCATCGCGAAACTAACTCAGAGTGAGTTTGTCTCTTTCTGTTTCGCTTTCTTGCGATGGACTTGCATATTCGTAGATAAGGGGTTAACATGTGTTATCGAAACAGTTTGTATGTTTAAAACTTGTTGGTAAAAATCGACCCGAAAATGTGGATAATTTATTTAAAAATGAAATTATTAAGCCTGTAGCTCTGTAACTTCAAAAGATATTGAAGGTCAAAGTTCAAAAATCCTAATTTGTTATATTTTCAAATCTAAAGTTTTAGCCTGCCGTAACTTTCAAAAGGACGAGGCAACGGATTTTTTCTTATTCTTGGAATAATCCCAATTATTGGGTTAATTTTAAACCTTAAAAATGTCAGATGCTCTGCACGTTATCAAAAAATTAGATTTTTTTGTACTATGGGATACTCCACTTATGATTTTGTGAAAATCAGATTTCCTTGCTTAACAAAAAAATTACTAAAAAATCAAACTTTCTTTTTGATTTTTTCTAATTTCCGTTTCTCTACCTCGTCAACCCGTCATCATTTGAATTTCCCGCAAAAATTTATGATCAATAAAAACGTCGTACGTTCATTCAAGGTTTTTGAGCAGATTTTTCCATCTGTTTTTCTACTCTCATTGATCATTTCGATTATTTTTTTTAAGCTTCAGAGCAGCCAACAAATGTCAAACGTTTGTCCACTGAAATGTCCACTCACCACTACGAACTCCCGAGAGATCAGTGTTGTTGATTTACTCACAATTTTTTCTTTTAAACTCCATCACAAAGTAAAGTTTGAGCTAAACGATCCATTCCACGAGACGCAATTTGCTAAACAAACCTGGCTTTCTCCTCTTTTATGACGACTAACTCAATTTCATCCGAGAAACAACCCACCCATCAAAAACAGGAGATATTTACAACAACCCAGTAGCTCTCACGGATGATCCGTGTCTCGATAAGATGGGAAAACCATCAGGTCGAGTACAAAGAGATCAGTCCAGCAGCCAGATCGGGCCAGTTTGGGCGAAGGAGTGTTCAGTGTTTCGGGTGAAAGTAGGGAAGGACTTGCAAGAAATAAGGGGGAGAAAGTGGTTTCTTGCAGGGGAATATTTTGACATGGGAGAAATGCAAGGTGCAAGAAACTAGATCTCGCCGCTGTAAATACTTCAAACGTCGAGTAGCAAGATACCACGTGTTTCCTGCACTTTCCTGCAGTTTCTTGCACCTCGCATTTCCATTTCTTGCACCTTGCATTTCTTGCAGTTTATTGTAACTCGCATTTCTTGCAGTTTCTAGAACCTCGCATTTCTTGCAGTTTCTAGCACCTCGCATTTTTTGCGTTGGCTGCTTTTGCAGTACAAAAATGCAACAAACCCGCAAGAAAATGGTTGTTTATAGCTATTTTGACCTGCAAGAAATGCGCGGAACAAGAAACTAAATCCCGCCGCTATGAATACTTCATACCGTGCGTGGCTAGATAATTTCTTGCACTTTCTCCCAGTTTCTTGCACCTCGCATTTCTTGCATTTCTTCCTTTCCTGTCCAAGAAATGTAGCAAACTACTATCAAAAAACGAAACCCTGATTCCGTTGCATCACATGAATGACGACTACTTTCTCTTGACTTTCTCTTCCACCAGGAAATCTAATAAGTAAGTAAGCCACCGTACACCGCACTTACGGTATGAGAAAGTGAAAGAGATGATGATCATGCTCATTTCGTCATCTCCTGATCCACTCAGATTGAATCGAATCTTTTTACTCTTCTCTTGGCAAACCGTCTTAAAAAATCTAGTCAACTCTGATCCTTTACGGTCATTCTTAAGTTTTGGTGGCTACTTTATGGAAAGCATTGTCTGTCCATCAACTTATTCTCATAATGTATTGGATTTCACTTATCCTTGATGTGCTCAAATGTGAATTTTTGAAACGGGTTTTTGATTTTTGTATTCCTCAGATTGTTTAATTTCTTTAATTTTTTGATTCTTTGTAAATTCAACAAAATTTTATCGTTAGAATGCTGTGGTAAAACGTGAATTTTATCAACCGTTTTTAATTTTTGGATTTCTCAATTAATTTCATTCTTGATTTTTTGTAAATTAAAACAAAAATTTTGAAGGTTACAAATTGTTAGAACTGTCTATCAAAGATTTGCAAAAGCGTAAATAAAGCATTTGAGCTTCCTGTCACTTTTACGCTGTGGCTTAATGTCTTATATTTCATACAATTTCCGAAAATTCTTAGGAATTTTCCGCATACAAAAAATCGTTCTCTATCTCATTCCCGTTGCTTTGTTACATCCCTTCACATTTAGCTTCCTCTCGTAAAAAATTTAGTATTTACGAGTCCCTCCTAAAACTTAACATGCTTGTTCTTTCCCTCTCAAAAAATAAAACGTGTCCCCCTCACTCACCAATTTCAGTTGATGTTCAAGTCTCCCCTTTTGCGACTCTGTTTCGTAAATCCGCTTCTTCAAGGCGTCATCCACCCGGTCACTTTGCCTTTGAAGCTGAACGGCCAAGCTACAAGAGAAGAGAAGCCGTTTAACGATTACGAGCAGTGTTTCGGGTGAAAGTAAGTAACCATTTGGAAGAAATAATTGAGAGAAAGTGGTTTCTGGCAGGGGAATAGTTTGACCTGCAAGAAATGCAAGGTGCAAGAAACTAGATCCCGCCGCTACAAATAGTTCATACAGCTCGTGGCTCATACCTGTTCAAAAATTTAGTTTTCATTCAAAAGTTAATTATTCCGATTTCTGACTTAAGATTTTCATTCAGTCATTTTCGCTCAAATTCATTTCACTTCACTTCATCTCACTTCATTTCTTACTTCGCCCCATGTATGAAGTATAATATGAAAAATGAAATGAGTGAAAAATCATTCCATTCACAGTCATTCATCTGAAATGACAGAATCCTTCAGTCATTTTCATTCAAATTGCAGGAAATTCATTTTCATTCACTATCACTCACCATCATAATCACTCAAATGAATGAAAGTGAACAGGTATGGGGTGGCAAGATGTCGTATATTTCTTGCACTTTCTCCCACTTTCTTGCACCTCTCATTTCTTCCTTTACCCTGCAATAAATGCAGCAACGAACACTAACTAACTCCGATGAGCACGAGAAGATGCACAGAAAGTAGTAAAATTTTGGTCCAGGAAATAAATAATAATTAAATATAGTCCGCCAAACCCAGCCAGACTTTCACTTTAGGCGGAAAAGCTACTTTACATGCAAATCTCTCCCAGTTCATTACGAAATTAGAATGGAATTACGAAATGAAAATCTCTCTAAGAACTTAATTGGCATCTTATCCAGGATTAAGATTATTATGGCCTATAAAGGATTACACTTTGCGAAAGAGAGAGAGAGAGAAAGTACACAGAATAGAATATGCTGTGCTCCATTTATTTGCATCTCTCTTCTGGGACCAGAAGAAGCAATAAACACATCAACATCAAAGGCAGAGTTGGCGAGTTAGAGAGCTTCTGGTCTCGGAGAAAGCCTTCCAGCTCATAAGAAAATTTCTTGTGAGCCTACTTTCTCCTCTGCCAATTTAGACTGGCTTAGCCCATCTTACAAACACTGTCCGGATCGCTTTACAAAGTCAAGTTGTCAGAAGATAATTTAAAATGGAGGGAAAAATCATCATAATTATTTAAAAAATGCTGGAACGAATTATGCGTATTTTTCTTACAAACTACTTTCTCCTTCAATTTAGACCTTTCTCTGCCCGTAAGGCGGATACAGTAAACTCGACAGAAAATGACTTAATTGGAGGAAAAATATTGTTAATAACGCGGAAGAAAAGTTTGTGTATTCTTCTTATAGCCTACTTTCTCCATTTTTGGCCAGCTTAACTTTTTCTTTTATCACTTCTAAAGTCAACTAGGCAGGAAATCATTTAAAATGGAGGGGAAAAATCGTTTGTAATTGTGAATGATAAAAATCCGGGAGAAAATGGGTGTCCCTTCCTTATAGCCTACTTTCTCCTCCAATTTAGACCAGCTTAGCTTAGCTTCCTCTGTCCGGAGCCCTTTAGAAAGTCAACTCGTCGGAAAATTATTTAAATGGAAGGGAAATCGCAATTATAATAAACGCTCGCTCAAATTATGTATTTGTCAACCTACTTTCTCCAACTCAAACCAGCTTAGCTTTCTCCTATCGCTTTACATAAAGCTAACTCAACAGAAAATAATTTAAATGGAGAAGATTAATTGTACGTTAAAATTCTGGAGGGACTTAAATTTCCTGTGTAAAACATCAAACAGAAGCAGATTTCTGAATGCCCACTTTCTCCAATTCCAGCAAGCTTAACATTATCGCTTAACAAAGTCAACGCATCACATATGTTAAACTGAAGGAAAAAATTAATCCGTCATTAAAACCTAATACCTGTTTCTGGCGGAAATTCCATTAAAAATCAGGCTCCTTACTGCCCACTTTCTCCATTTGTATCGCTTGACAAAGTGAACTTGTCGCAAAATATGTTAAATTGAAACGAAAAAAAATAATCAGCACGGAGCCGATACTTTCCCAAATTCCACGTAATTTCTCCTTCTAGCTTAACTTTTACCGTCCTCATTTCGTGTCGTGTTGTGTTTCCACGTCGGAAAATAGGAAGCTAAAAAATTAATCCGTAGTTATAAACTGTGCAGGAAATTATTTACGTGTCTGCACAGAAGACCCCCCACTTTTGAGCCGAATCGGATTTCAGGGAGCAAATGTGACCTCTTATTTTTTTGTCAAATGCAGACTCTTCCAAATTACGGGAAGTGAAAGCTTTGATTTGGTAATGAATTTGACAAGAGCTTGCCTTTTTTGTAGTATTTTTGTGCGAGGATGAATTAATGAGGAAGAGGAACGTATGTACATGTGAAAAGGATTACGTTTAATTGGAGTGGAACGCTACTTTGTGCATGTGTTCAGTGGCCGCGGAAGCGTGGGTGGGAACAGAGGGACAATTTTCCCATGGTTATTCGATGTTCGCATTATCTCCCCATATTGTATAAACCCCGGCCGCCCCTATTCTACACATACCTGTTCACTTTCATTCATTTTATTGATGAATGATAGTGAAGCAAAATGAAATTCCGGTCATTTTTATGGACCTGACCAGGGTATGCTACCCTGGGTTTTTGAGGTATTGGGGCTTTGTGGGTTTTGGTGGGTTTCGGGGTAGCAAATATGAGCAATACCCACGGGTAGTCGGGGTTTTCAACCTAATAAAGCGACTAAATGCTGAAATAATATTGCCGCTAACTTTGTTCATCACCGGCTGTTGTTTTCCGTGTTTATTTTAGTTTTTAATTATTTACGTATTCTCAAGTGGCATTAAATATGCCTCGGAAACGAAAAATTTCGTCAAATGATAAGTTAACTGCCTCTCAAATTGTGGAGTTATTGGAAGGTCAGCATTTTATAAATACATTTTAATAATTCTATTTCAAAATATCTATCGTTTGACTAAATAAAATTTTAACTAGAATCGCAAAATGTGGATGACCAAGGGCCGCTTGAAATTGACGATACAATTGACATCGTACCAATTAGCCAATTCACTTTGGGATTGGTTGCACCTGGTAGAATATCTTTTAATAAATAAATAAATTACTAAATCATATCGCATGTAAATAAACACTTTAATAAATTTTTAGACCAAACGATTCAAAGCGGGGTAGATGGAGACCTTGAGGACGTTGGTAATGTAAACAAAGATGGTATGTTGGAATTTTAATAGTGCGACCGAATAATTGACTAGATTGGTTCATTATTTTTGTTAAGATTCGACAGATAAAGAAATACCCAGTGATTCAAGCTACCAGCCATCATCTTGCCTACAGCAAGAAAAGACTGATCCTGACCACCCTGCAATTGAAATATCGGATGATGAAGAAACTGCGGATGAACCTTCTCTCTCAAAGAAATCTAAACCGGCTTTGGTCAGTAACAGAAATCAAAAACCGGAAGTTCGAGAGGCAAAAAATCGCTTTTGTTCGCATGATTTGTACAGTTTGTGCTGATTTTTGTGATTGCGACGGTTCTATTAATTCGGTTCTTTATAACCAATACGGGTACAAGATTTTCGTAATTCGAAAACATTTTTTTAATACTTCGAGAAAGATTAATTTAAAAGTTTAAATTTGTATATTTATTTCGAATTTCGAAAAATGTTCTTGAAAAAAAGCTGTTGAGAAAAAACCACGAATCTTATGGCAGTTAAAAATCGTTTGCGACTTTCAGTCTCTCCCCTTCAGGCACAAGGCGGAGCAGAATCATATTATTAGAAATGTGGCGTTCTACAAGCTGTGCAAATCTTCCGAACAAAATCGATTTTTGTTCTCTTTTGGTTTTGATTATTGCTGCTCTGGTCAAATTTCAAAATAACTATTTTCACACATAAATCAAATTAAATTTATTATGCTCAGCAACTAATCTCTGGTCCTAATTGCAGGCAAAAAAGAAGGGGGGAAAGCAGAAAGATGATGTATGGGGATGCTTCTCTACAACAAAATTAAACAACAAAATAAGTGCATCTTGTAAAAAATGTGGGGAGACATTTGAGTGGGCTAAAGTAGAAAGACTTAAGAAACATTTGCATGTTTGTAACAGACAAACAGATACGCTTGTGAATCAACAAATTCCTTCGAGTCATCAAAACGACATGCCTTTTTTCCTACACGACTCGGAAAATCCAAGTGTATCAACCGAATTAAAAACGCAACAAAAACTACCGGCATTGTTTACAAAATTAACTAACGAAAAAGATAAAATCGACATGCAGGTGGCAAGATTTGTCTACGCATGTAAGCTTCCTTTTTCGATTGTAGATCATCCGGAATTTGTGAAATTGAGTCACTTATTGAAGCCTAGCTATAAACCTCCAACAGCGAAGACAATTGGTGGATCAATTCTGGACAGGGTTTATTCCGAAATCTCGGAAAAGTCTAAATTAACTGCCAAATCAAAATTTGAAACCCTAATGCAAGATGGTTGGAGTGCTATTCAGCATTCCCCTATAATTTCCCATTGCATAAATGTTGAAGCAACAGAGTCAATTTATGTAAACGCAGTGGCAACCTCCAGTCAGGTCACCTGACTGAAGGATTCCGTCATTTCAAATGAATGATTGTGAATGAAGGATTTTTCACTCCTTTCATTTTTCACCAAATGCTTAATATATGGGGCGAAGAAATGAAGTCTGATGAAGTGAAATGAAATGAATTTGAATGAAAATGAAAATGACTGAATGTGAATGAAAATCTTCAGTCAGAAATCGGGATGACTGACTTTTGAATGAATTTTTTGAACAGGTATGTTTCTACAATTTTAATGTCCCCCCAATGTCCCCCCACGGCTTCTGCGGCCACTGCATGTCTTGTGCACCTACCTGGACAAGAACGGGGCACATTTGTCCCTTAATTGCCTCCCCGACTGGATCTGTTTTTCCGCCAGGGCGACATTTTCCTGGAAACGGACCTCCCAGACGGGGATGTCCACCATGCTATGGAGAAAACCAATCAATAAATACGTGGAAACTTATTTAGAATCGATTCTACATCATCGTTCCCACCACCTGCGCCATTATTAAAGCCAATCCGTCATATTTTATGACCCAGGAGGGGAGAAAGTGGTGCATTGTCTTAGGAGGGAATTCGTACTAGGGATACTTTTTGCCTGATAGCCGAAATACACCCGGTGGTTTACTGACAAAGTGCAAACAAAATCTGGAAAGCTAATTTGGAAATTTTTGACGTGTTTTGATATTTAGGTACAAACCATTTTGTGGAAAAGTTAAGTATTTTCTGATTTTTTATTGACATCCAAGATTTTCAAAACGGGTGTGTCGGTATGTTTCGAGCGCGTGGAGATATAACGGTTCATGCCCCTTAATTCGCAGGTACTTGGGTACACTCAAAATAAGGTAGTAATGAATCATTACCATGCGGAATGACTATGTGGCTCTACCACGTCGGTTACGATTTGTCGTAGAAATGGTAATAATAATTTCAGGAAAATTCAAATTCATTACCAAATATTAAGGAAGTTAATACCATTATGTATTAAATTTGAATTTCCCTGAACTTATTATTACCATTTCTACGACAAATCGTAACCGACGTGGTAGAGCCACATAGTCATTCCGCATGGTAATGATTCATTGCTACCTTATTTTGAGTGTATGGTAAGTGTCACGGCGTGATCAAAATGAGTATTTCGAGTGCAAGTAATCAATCGCAGTTTTTTGTAGTTTCATACACCTCGCATTTCCTGCGTTTATTGGTTACCAGTGCAATATAGGTAACAAACCGACAAAAAACGAACACTGCCCAAACGAATTAACCCGTTAAATGAAAGAGGTCAACACAAATTTGGAACGAGCTTTGCAGAAATTCTTGCACTTTTTCAGTGTCACTTCGGCTATCAGGTAAAAAGTATACCTAGTTCGTTACAGCTTGACTTACGTACCCTTCCGGGAATCTCGCCACTGCCGGGTATCTCAGCATCGTGACGGTTTCTCGTGACCCTGGCAGCATCCTGTAGGCAGCTTCGTCAATTCGAAAAGCGACCATTTTGTCGCTCCAGTCCCGCTCGAGATTCTCTGAATTTCCGAACAAACAATATAGAATTTTTCAAGAAATTTAGTTCTCCAAAATTTGTATAACTTGACGCAATCTAAAAATAACTTTCCATCGAACGTAAATCTCCTCACATACAAATTTTTGTATTCATTCAGAGTTTTGCGAAAATGTTCCAAACACTTAAGACTCTCTTTGAATTTTCCGAGAAAAAATATTAGATTTTTCAAGAAAGTCAGTTTTCAAAAACTTGACTCAATTAAGAAGTACAATCTCCTAAAATATTTAAAGTTGCACGGAAATACTCTAAACTTGACTCAACCCCTAAAATCAGCTTTCAATCGACCGAAAATTTCCTAAAAGCTTCAAAATTGCGCGGAAATGCTCTAAACACTTAAAATCTGTCCTCACCAACCTTTCACACCGCGTTGTATCCCGATTTGTTCTCGAACCTGATCCTCGAACGTTTCCAGTTGGTTGATAGCATCCAAAATTAGACCACGTTCGATTTGAAGTTCCTCTTCGACTAGGTCAAGGGTCAAATCGATTCCAATCCGGGTCGTGCGAAGACGAATGCATTCATTAACAACGTGCAGGATGGCGGCACCCGTGGCGGCTAAAGCGTTCGCGACACGGGCGCGGACGTTTTGTAGATGGTCGGTAGACTCGCGGAGCTCCTGGAGAAAAAAATAAAATTGTTACCAAACTGGTAAGGAATTTTTACATCATAATTTCAATTAATACTTTCACCGAAAGTTTAAAGAAAGCTTGTACATATGTTCAAAAAGCTGCTGATTCTCTCAATAAATTTTAAGAAATGACATAAATAAACCCAATTTGTTCCTCCCTGCTACTCCCACGCACATATGAGTGGGAGAAGCACTTCACCTTTTTACAAAAAAGTCAGTGTTTCGGGTGCAAGTAACGACTTGCACGAAATAACGGAGAGAAAGTGGTTTTTTTGCAGGGGAATATTTTGATCTGCAAGAAATGCACCGTGCAAGAAACTACGCCCCGCGGTTATACTTCATACATCGCGTGGCTAGATGGCGCACATTTCTTGCACTTTCTCCCAGTTTCTTGCACCTTATATTTATTGCATGGCTTACATTGTAGTGCAAGAAATGTATGTGAAAAACTCACAAGTCATGAAACACTGAAAAACTCTTTTTACAACTACATAACATAATTTGAATAATGTATCAAATGAAATTTGCATCTATGAATGAACGTGACCAGTTCTGCAATTTTATTTGTATCTCATCTTCCCTGAACTAGAAATCTATTAGATTTTGCAAGCTTGAGAAATAAAGATAAGTTAATTTGAAAAATTGCATCTGATCATTCAAATTTAATTTGATGCTAAATTCAAGCTAAAATTGACCGGAGAAAGTTCAAATCGTCAACCTCACTGACACATTTGTTACCGAGATATGTTCATTTAAAAAATGGCATCTGATCATCCCAATTTAATTGTAGGTTAAATTTAAGCTAAAAATTTGACCGGAGAATGTTAAAATTTCCAGGAATTTTTCAAAATATCGTAATCAACCTCGCTGACATATTTATTGCCAGGAAGTTTATATGTAAAATGGTGTCGGTTCATTCCAACTGTTAAATAATCTGTTCAATTCTAGGGAGAACTTGGCCGGAGAAAGTCAGAATTTCTTGGAATTTCAAATTCCAGAAAATTCCGAATTTGTCACAACATCTTATACAACCAGCCTCAGTAACAAATTCGTTACCAGGAAATATTTATTTGAAAATTGATCAATCCAACTAGGGATGGTAATCCGTATCCTAAATTAACCGATCCGTAGGATAGGATCGGATAAATACAGGATCGGATCGGATCGGATTTGCTCGCTTTAGGATCGGATCGGCTCCCGGTTCTACTCGAAATCCGATGCGATCCGATCCTAGGATCGGATCGATCGTAGGATATCCGCGGATGATATGTGTGAGACACCTTGTGTCTAACTATGGAAATACTTTACCAGCTGCTTTTCTTTATTTATTGGAACGCTTTTTGGCGAGTTCATCACATGGTGTACATTATCCGAATGAGCCGAATTATTTTATTATTTTGCACCAGTTGTTTTTATTTCGGCGTTTAAATTATTCAATTTCGTATGATTTCAACGCTAAAATAAAAATAACTGGTGTTAAATAATAACATAATGTACGCCATGTGATGAACTCACCAAATGTGAAACGAGTTTACATCGGATGATCCGAGGATCCTGTGCAATCCTAGGATTTCATCGGTTCGGATCGGATCGGATTGTCTGATCCTCGGATCCTCTATCCGATCCGTGTGAAAATCCGATCCTATCCGAGTTTTTACGATCCTAGGATAGGATCGGCTACGGATTACTATCACTAAATCCAACTGTTTAATTTTCTGCCAAACTCAAGCGAGAAATTGTCCAGGGAAAGTTGAAATTTCCTCGAACTAGGCCAAACATAACCAACTCCGGTGTCAAATGTGTCACCAAATCCAATCCTTCCTCGCATTAACACCATTCGAATTAGTCTCCTGCTTTTGTTTGTTGTTTTTTCCTCTCTCTCTCTCTCTTTTATTACAGGAGGCTCATCCAAGTTGAGAGGTCGGGTTACGATTTAATTTAGATTTTGACAAAAAGGTTTCGTCTTTCAGTCTCTGGGGGGAGCGAGGGACAAAATACCGCAGTTTCGCACACGACAGCGACAGGACGGCGTACTGACAGGTTTCCAACTCTCACTCTCTATCTCTCCCAATCCAGTCCGGCAGAGGAGGAAGTCTCTCCCCGTAATCCCATTGAATTTGGAGAAAGTAAAGTAAGCTGTCGCCCTTGACAAATCTGGTGCAGGGGCTAAAAGCCAAACTCGACTCACGTCAAAATTATCGTGGTACAGTGGTGGTGGAATGTTTCGTTCTTTTCAGTGTTTCTGGTGAAAGGGAGGAATCGCTTGCAGGAAGAAATAAGGGGGAGAAAGTGGTTTCTTGCAGGGGAATATTTTTGATTTGCAGGAAATTCAACTACTCTTCATTCATTTAAGTTTGACCATGGCTAAATCTTGCTCCAGAAGAAACCCACGTTTTTAGTATTGCTCAGTATATAAATAGTTCATACGGTGCGTGGCCAGATGATTTATTGCAGTTCTTGCAATTTTTAGCACTTTTTTGCAATTTTTGGCACTTTCTTGCAATTTATTGCATTGCTTGCTTTGTAGTGCAAAACATGTGGAAAACCGGTAAAAACTTAAAAACCGGGTGAAAGTAGTAGTCACTGTTGACCGTGTTTCAGGTTCCAGTAACCACAAAATAACTCAAAGAAAGTGGTTACTTGAAGCTAAATATTTATGTCTGCATGAAATGCTGGGCGCAAGAAACTAGTTCCTGGCGCTAGATAAATAGTTCATATAGCGTGTGGCTAGCTGGCGTACATTTCTTGCACTTTTTCCCACCTCGCATTTCTCCCTTTCCACTGCACGAAATACAGCCAACCCACCTAATCCGAAACACTACTTCTCTGGGTGAAAGTACGTATGAAAACCAGAATTTATTTATATACCTAAAACGCCACGTGGCACGACTGTTTCCCTGCTGCAAGATATTTACACAAATAAATTCAAACGTCCAGATTTGTCGCAATATTTGTGGGAATTTTGGTTACATTTTGGGTGGTGTCATGTCATCATGCCACGTACGCAGATACGTACGAAGCGGCAGCAATAATAATAACATCAAAGCAGCCAACAGTGCCTCCCAAACGGGGAAAGTGAGAGAGAAAGTGGGCCTGACTGCAGCCGACACAGAGAGACAGACTTGCAATTTCAAGTGTTTTCTCTCGGTCGTTGATGGCAGGGTAACAGTGTGGAGTTTGCCGTCATCCTCTCCCTAATTGCCACTTCTTGCAAACTTTTAAACCAGGGAAATCACCAAACATTTTCAACATTTTCTCTCGTTGGGTGGGCTTATTTGTTGTTAAGACTTTCTGTTACGCAGCCTTGAATGCAATGGTTATGTTGGTCGTGTCTTTATGCATGCTTTTACAGTGTTTCGTTGGTTACAGATTTGCCACATTTCTTGTAATGGAAGGAAAGACATGCTAGAAATGCGAGGTGCAAGAAGCTGCACGAAATATGCATCATTTAGTCAAGCGCCAACTGAAATATAGCGTCTTTCTTCTGCCTTGCATTTCCTGCTAGTCAAAATATGTACCTGCAAGAAATCACTTTCTCCCTGATATTTCTTGCACGTGGCTACTTTCACCCGAAACACGTGGTCAGCTGTAACCACTTTCACCCAGTGTTTCGTTTCTTGCGGGTTTGCTACATTTCGTGCACTGGAAAACAAGAAATGCATGAAACTGGGAGAAAGTGCAAAAAATATGCGCCATCTAGCCACGCGCCGCACAAACTACAGCGATATTACCTAGTTTCTTGCACCTTGCATTTCTTGCAGGTCAAAATATAACCCTCCTTCTTCCCCTTATTTCTTGCAAGCTGTTCCTTCCACCCCTTTAACCCGGCACACTGCCCCTTCCTCTTACCCCAATGAGGTCCCCAAGCCTCAAAGAAAGTGCGAAAGTAGTGTCCGATCTGACTCGCAGTGCTTGTGAAGAGTCATCCTGCATGGTAAGTGTCCTTCCTCTTATCTCATTTCGAACATGACCTCCTTCTCCCCTCGAGCTGAAAATAGAGAGAGAAGTAGGCAGCAAATTAATAAAATTTGCATAATAAAGTATCCACCCTTGATTTTTTGCCCCTTCATATGTGAAACTCATTAGTTGTCCAGTGAGTTGGCGATAAACTCATCGCGGAACATTATTATTATCGCGTGTTACTCCATATCCTCTTAACTTTCCTGGCCCTCGACATCCAGCGAAGAACTTTCTCTTTGCCACATTTATCTCTCTGCACAGCACAGCCAACAGGACTCGCTTACTTTCACCCGGTTTCTTCTTTTGGGGGGAGAAAACAGCCAAAATGTGACGAATATTCATGGATTTTGCGTGAGAAAATGTACTTTCACTCACTTTTTTTGGGGGGATAATGGGGCGATTTTTTACGAATTTCGTCCCTTTTTTGTGCATGCAGAAAATATTTTTTTACCCACTTTTTTGGAGAGAAAGCACCTAAAATGTGCGAATTTTTGCGAATTACATAATTTTTTTGCACGAAGAAAATACACTTTCACTCACTTTTTTGCAAAAAAAACACGCAAAATGTGACAAATATTTACGAATCACAGACACTTTTTTATCATTTTTTTGGTATCTGGACAAAATAAAAGTCTGGTCGTGATTTGTGCCGTATTTGCTTTCACCTTTTCACTTCATTCGACTTAAAGGGCACTTTACTCTCCATTTACGTAATGTGAAAAGCAAGATGGTGACTTCACATATCGTGACAAGAAACTTGGCCACTTCTTCTAAACAAGAATGCTCCCGTAACGGCATGATTTTACACCCGCGTGGCGCAATGGTGTGAAAAGCCCGACCTTAAATCCTTTTCTTGGCGTGTCAGCTACTAGGTCGTAAATTACTTGGTTTTCGCTCTAATTCACTTCACTCGGGGGAAATCATACCATAGGCCAAAGCAGAAACAGACTGGGGGGAAGAAAACAGGACCCGCGGAAATAGAGGGACAATGTCCCCACGGTTGTTCGATGTCTACATCATCACCCCATGTTATATAAACCCCTCCCTCCCCCTTCCTACAATGTTAACGTCCCCCGATGTCCCCACAGCTTCCGCGGCCACTGAAAGAAGGGAAGAAGTAAAAGAAGAAGGGACCCCGCTTTCACCACCACCACCACCTCCAAGTCCGACATGCATAATTACACATGTGACAAGATCATGACTCCCCACAACTCGACGGGTTAACACTCTAAAGACGGGATTAATTAGTGTGTAAAGTGTGTGTCGACCTGCTCTCGGAAGTGTCTCCTTCAATGTCTCGTTGTGTGTCAAGTGGAAAATGTCGTCGTCACTTGAGGAATCTTACGACACGTTGTCGACATGCATCACATCAACGCCTTACCTAAAATCCACTCAAATTCCCTAGGACGCTCCTTCTTACATCGTATTTACCTCTACGCCATGTCACATTTTACAAGCTGCCATTCTGCATTTCCAACCAAAATCCTGCAACTCCTACGCTTTAAAAGTGGCATGATTTCCAAGAAACGACTAGTAGCCGTCGGACTGACAAACAAATAAACAGATTCATCCCGACATACACGGCTTACTACCTACGCTATCCAGTGACCGCGGAAGCCGTGGGGACATCGGGGGACCTTAAGATTGTAGGATAGGGGGAGGCAAGGGTTTATATAAGATGGGGAGATGATGGGGACATCGAACAACCGTGGGGACATTGCCCCTCTGTCCTAACCAACGCTTCCGCGGCCACTGCTCGTGGTTTTACATGCATACACAAAGAGCGTGTATATACAGTGGCCGCGGAAGCCGTGGGGACATCTGGGGCTGTTAACATTGCAGGATAGGGAGGCAGGGGTTTGTATAACATGGGCAGATGATGCATCGAACAACCGTAGGGACATTGTCCCTCTGTCCCCACCCACGCTTCCGCGGCCACTGTCTTTCTGTATACCAAATAATACGTACAGTTTGCAAAGGTACACAAATTCTGGCCTGGCCTGACTTGGCCTGAAGGAGGAGAGGAGCCTTGTTTGAGTGGATTTTGCAGCCTGCTTTCTCTTCCTCGCTGGATTTTGAAGCCTGCTGCTTTCTCTTCTTGTGCTTTCACTCGCTTAGATTTTGCAGCCTGCTTTCACTCACTCGCTCGCTTTCTCCCCTCCTCACCCTCATTCCTGAGTAAACATTAAATTGCAACATCAATTCCCAATCAAAACCGACCGAGTTTTGGATTTGTTGCGAGTAAAGTATCGACTCACATACAGAGAGAACTTACTTTTTGGCAGACTGGATGAAAATGGATTTGCTCATTCGGCCATAACTATTAATTATACGGTTACGTTATTCCTTCCGCGAATTGTGTGGGCTGTTAGGCATGCTTCAAATAAATCGAAAAGATTCGTAGGGATCATCATGATAATAGGAATGATCAGTGAATTTGAGACGACGGAAATGCATTAGCTCCAACTGTGCGGGATGGAAAAGAGATGATTGTAGTGGTGTTGGTGGTGATGACACTTGCACAATGTTTGGGTCATACGTGGGATGAAGGAAGGATCAAGATGCGAATGGAGGAGGAGGATTAGTGTTTCGGGTGAAAGTAGGAAATAACTTGGAAGAAATAAGGGGGTAGAAAATGGTTTCTTGCAGGGGGAATATTTTGACGTGTAAGAAATGCAGGCCGTGAGAAACTACGCATCGCAGTTATAACTAGTTCGTTTAGAGAGTGGTTAGATGACGCATATTTCGTGCACTTTCTCCCAGTTTCTTGCACCTTGCATTTCTTGCATTGCTTTCTTTGAAATACAAAAAATGAGGGGAACTCGCAAGAAACTAAACAATGGGAGAAAGTAGTCACTGCTGACCACGTGTTTCGGGTGAAAGTAACCACGTGCGAGAAATAACGGAGAGAAAGTAGTTTCTTGCCGGTGAATATCCTGACCTGCAAGAAATGCAAGGTGCACGAAACTACGTCCGACTGATATAGTTCATACGGCGCATGGCTATTTCTTGCACTTTCTCCCAGTTTCTTGCACCTCGCATTGCTGTCATTCCCCTGCAAGAAATGCTGCTCACCCGCAAAAAACGAAACACAGATCAGAACGAGGAAAAAATTCTATTCGTTCCCAGCGCAAAAAAAGTATTTACGAGCCCACCAGGAAATCCCCAGTTTTCACTTGATCCTTCCTTCCTCTTCCTCTCGTCTCATCTCTGCTTCTGCGAGCTGCTCCCCTAAACCAAACCACTCAACAAATAACCATAAATCGGAAATGGTACGGTGTATGTATGTTCCTGCTCATTCTTTGTGCTCGCTTTTTAACGGGGAGAAAGCAGCGAGCCAGAGATAGCGAGAGATAAGGGACAGCCAGCTTTCTCTCTCTTGCATACGTACGAATTGATAGTCAAGCAGGCCGCGTGTGCCGCACTAAATGCTTTCGTGGAAGAGGCTGATTTATAGGGAAAGTTGGACAGGTGAAAGTTGGCTGCGATTCATCACGCCGTGTCGTACATTCATCACCATCGTGTCAATTATGGGACTGGGTTTACTGGCAAAAATGTATGTCTGTATTATTGTTGGGATGGTAGGTAGATTGGTAGTAGCATAGATGGGCAAATTACAGTATTTTGAGGTATGTTCTTCCCAGGGTTTGCATTTCCGAGGCTTTTACACCCACAAAAAACGAAAAGCAGCTTGTTGTAGACAACAGTCACCCGAAAATACTTGAAGAAATTAACTTTTTACGCTGTCAAAATACCTAATATTTTTTCAAAAATCGTGAAAATAATGTATTTTAACTCAGATTAAATGCTAATTTCTCCAATTTACGGACTGTTACACCTACAAAAAGATGATAATCTACGTGGAGAAGGCAACAGTCAGTTCAAAATGTAGAGGAAATTAGCGTTTCATCACTGTCAGAATACTGTCTTTTTAAAAAATCATAAAAACAATGTATTTTGATCTATAAAAACTTAATTTCTTCACAAAACCGCATTTTCGACTGACTTTTCCCTTGTTCACGTAGCTACTCATCTTTTTTGGGTGTAGTATCCCCAGGAATCTAAACCCTGCTAAGACCGTACCTCAAAATACTGTATATTTTGCCCATCTCTGACAGTTAGATAATCTTCACCTGAAATTGGGGGGAAATTGGGATGAGGGGAAATATACATGAGATTCAGATTGAGATTTGTGCACGTGAAGAGGCCGACGGTCTGGCTGGCTGGCTGGCTGGCTTTCACCGATAGAGAGATAAATCTCCTCGTCTCCTCTCCGCTTAACTTTGGCTGATCCTTTTTTCCTCGACTTTCTCCATTCTTCTCCTTCTCCTCGCATGGTTCACAGCTTGGCAGGAATTTACTGGAATTAAGACCAGCTTGGGTGGAGGACTCGTCGAGTGTGTGGTTGGCCTGATGAGTGACATGTTTTCACTTTGTCGCCACTAAAGCTTGAACACGATGGCATCATCATCATCATCTTCATGCCGAGACGGAGTAAGGAGTAAGTAGCCGTATCATGATCCTGGAATCTCTCTACCTTTCGAGGAGGATACAACGCCCTGCTTATTTTTCTATTTTTTTTTGCTGGCCTTGCTTTCTTTCTGTCCGAGGTTAAGTTAAGAAGTCATGTCAGGAATATAATAAAGGGAGGGAGTGAGAAGAGACAAGTATGTAACACTTGGGGAGAAAGAAAGGCAGCTGGTTGGCCTGGCTTTCTTTTTGGGTTATGGAGAGAGATGAAACTGGTTTGTTTTCCTAAGGTGAAAGCAGTAACAAGGGGCTGATGGAGCTGGTGTGTTTGTCTGTCTTGTTGTGTCTTGTTTGATGGATTTGAAATTTTATGGTGGAAGGAAAATGTGACGAATTGGTGGAGCAAATGACCCATTTTTGGAGGTGAAAGCAAAAAAGGGACGATGAAACTGGCGTGTCTGTCTGTCTGTCTGTGTTTACGACTCGTATGAGGTTGTCTAATCGATTTGAATTTTGTGGTGGAGGGAACATTTGACGAATTGTATAAGCGCGGGACCCATTTTCTAAGGAGAAAGTAACTTTTGGCTTATTGAACTGGTGCGTTCGTGCGTCTGTTGGAATCTCGTGTAAGGTTACCTGATTGATCTGAATGTTTGTGGCGGTGGGAAACCGTGACGAATTGGTCAAGTTGGTGACCCATGGGGGTTACTTTTTAAGGGGAAAAGTTGGTGACCCGTGAGGGTTATTTTTTAAGAAGGCAAAAAAGGGCTGATGGAACCGGTGTATTGGTCGGTGGTTCTGTTATATGTGGCCCGTATAAGGCTACCTGGTCGACTTGAATTTTTGTGGTGGAGAGAAAATGTGACAGATTGATAAAGGAGAAAGCACGTGGTTTGTGGGACCAGCGTGTTTCTTATTTTCGTGTAATTTGAAATTTTGAGCAATCAAGTTAATTGGAAGTCAGGTGGTTGACTTATAAGTCGTCGGTGTCATAAGGACCTCATACATAACTTCTGATTCTCGGGCCTTGTCATGTTTTTATCCATATTTTGACCCAACTTTCTCTCCCGACAAGACAACAAAGATGATCTTTCTCTTACCATTCAGCCAACGCAAATCCTGCCCCTGCTTCGTTTTCCTTCCGTTCTGTCAAAGCCTTCCAGTCTTGCAGAGTGTGCCGCTCTAGTCCCAACCTGGGCAAGATTGGGCGAGATCCTGCATCATCTGCGGAGCAGAGGGCGGATATGTATTTATTTTCAAGTTTTTCATTTGATGACGACCGACGGTCAAACTTTTTGGGTGTGTCGCCTAACTCGAAAAAATTTCAATTATTTAGCCCGAGTCAGGGCTTTTGGAACCTTCATGTCCGTCCGTCTGTCTGTCTGTCCGTCTGTCTGTCCGGCACGATAGAGCCAAAACGGCTGAACCGATTGACTTGAAATTTTTACCACATGCATATTGGACAAAATTAGGAAACGAGTTCGAAGATGGGCGAAATCGATCCAGTGATTGACCGGTGGGGGTCATCGGAGTAGGTGGGGTCTTATGCACCAAAATTTCAAAATTGTCGTAGAAAGCTGAAATTTGGCACAGAGGTTGCTAATGGCTCCTACTAGATAAAAATGACTTCAAGTTGGAAAAATTTTCATCTTGAGCGACCCTATGGGGTGACCCATACCGATTTTTAGAAATTGCTTTAAAAAGATGGAATCCGGCACAATGATACTTAATGGCTTCTAATTAAAGAATATGAAGTTAAAAGTGAGCAAAGTGCAACCAGAGTGACCCTATCGGGTGACCCATACTGATTTTTCAAAATCGTTATATTGAGCTGAAATTTGATATGGAGGCTGAAAAAGTGAAAACCACTGCTGGGTAGCACATGCATACAGCTTAGAACTTCATGATGTTAAAGAAGCCCACTGGTCATGGTGGTCAAGGCACATGATTTGTAACTAATTCAAAAATTTGGTACCAAATAATAGAAACTATCTAACAAACTTTTAACCATCCACAACACGGAAGTTGGTGATATTATGTCGGTCGGAAAAAAATTAGAAGTGGGCTCTGACTTATTGATTCAGGGACTATGTCCCTGACTCGGGCTATATGGAGTCTGCACTGTAGGTTTTATATATTATAACAAATTTCTAGGTTTCCGAAAATATAAATATAGTCATAAATTTTTCCACTATTATTTGAAAAATACGTAAATGTAAACACATCTTTTTAAAATACATATTTTTGTAAATTTTTCAACAATGTGTGAAACGGATTTTTTTTGCTTAAAGAAATTGAATCGTAAAAAATCAAGGGGATTATATTCAGAAATGCAAATTTTTTGAAAATTCGTATTATTTATGTTTTTTGGTACATATTTCACAAATATTTGAGTGTTCTTTACCTAAATATTACATATCCACCCTTTGACAATCTGTTGTAAAGATATTTCGACACGTGTTGTGTAACAGAAAGTAAAAAAAAATGTGACAATATGGATGAAGACGTGATTGCCACTTTTCTTACCTGACGGAAGGTGATCCATTTTTTTATCCATTTTTTAGATTCAACTTTCACCCGGAATATTTGTTCTATTTTAGATTTTCTTGACTTCTAGCTTTTTTTTACTATATTCTTTTTTATATTTTAGATTCCACTTTCACCCAGGAATATTTATTGTATTTTAGATTTTTTTTACTACTGCCTATATTTTTTTTTACTATGTATGACACACCTACTTTCTCTTGAGAAATAAGGTATGTTTGCCGCTGGCCATATTTATTCAATAAAATAGGAAAGTAGCATCGATCCAACGAGACAATTGTGAAAGGGGGAAGTTGCTTATTGCGTACACGTAGTACACATAATTCATGAGCCGCGCAAAGTGGTAAGGGCATATGGGGAATGCATCGTAGAACTCGACGAGTCATCACCAAAATCAGGACATTCTTAATCATTTCTCCGCTCTGGGAATTTATTTTAAAATTCTGGACGACGAATTTGTAGAGCAGGTCGTTCCCCATTGTCAAAAATATGCACTCCAGATTTTGACACTTTTTGAAGTAGGAGATCTCAAGTTTAAGAAGCCCTCAGAAAAATTGGAACTCATCGAAACTGGCTCTAGAAACTCTCCGCCATTCCATTAATCAACTCACTGACTATAAATTAGGTTCCAGAATTTTCAAATAAATTCCCAGAGCCGAGAAATGATGAAAAATATGTTTTGACAATTTTTACAATGAGTCATCAAGTCCTACAGGTTCCTTGTGTCATTACATTATTTATTTGTCCCCTCTTTACCTTCCCCTCCTTCCGCGGGGCCTGCACGCAAAGGGAAGTCGTTGAAAGAAATAAAGGGAACACGTCAACTTGACACCGATCTGACTTTGACTTTGTTTCGTATCACATCTGCTCCAGCCAGTCGTCACTTTCTTTCCTGCTTTCTCTCTTCTTTTTCTTTCCGTCCTGTCAGCCGAAAAATGTAAGCGGATCAATAAATGTGAAAGCTGAACCCATGTATATCTGCTTACTTAACTTTCTCCCAGAAATAAAAGAAAGTGGATCGAGGAGAGAAGAAAAAATAAAGTATGTAATAATATTTACTTCCGGTCATTTAGTAGACAACATTGATTTATTAGTAGTAATAATTTAGAATGACAGCGATACATCGATACAAGAAGATATAAGTTTACAGTACAGTACATATTTTGTAGGTCACAATACGCGAACATGTTAATTTCTCTTTTTCTCGTTGGAAAATATTAGAGAGGTTGCGCTTTGTGATTGTAGTTTTGATTGTAGATGATAATATATTTTAATTCTTGTTTGATTCTGATTGAAATGATGATAATATATTTACAGTCAAAATTACCTACAATCACACTCAGAAATAATTACTCTTGCACAATCTCTCTATTAACACGTCTTGTAGGTTACCTGATGGAAAACATGAATAATATGTCTTGTAGCTTACAGTACGACATCTTGTAGGTCACGATACATATACAATACACCCATAAATATTTTTTTTATAAACACGTAAACATTTAGTACATATATAATATAAGTAATCTCTGTTTTGTTCCAAAATAATAATCCATTAGTAAATAGATAAATACACAAATTAAGTAAGTAAATACATTATTAGATTGGTTGGTTTTCTGGTCTGGCGTGATCTTGTTACTCATCTTCATCTTCATCGATCGACTTAATAACTACTATCTTAACTATAATATTTAATCCCTTCACCTTAACTTAATCCGATTAGCGGTAAGTTAGAGTATCTGTATACTTATCTACCTATCTAATAATTAGTAAGAGTATCACATCATCACCAAAACGACGAAGTAAAATAATTCCTTGGAGAAAGCAGTCGTAGCTTTCTCTTTAAAAAAGTACGGCCAAAACCTAAATCACACCGTTACCACCCAAGGGCTCGTTTGGGTGGTAAAAGTGCGAAAATTTGGCATTCATAATTTCCTGAATTTATATATATTTTTTATTTTTGTATAAAATACACCTAATAATTTTCACCTTGCTTTCTCTCGTGTCATGTACAATTCTCAGGTACACGGAATAATAATCAGTGTTCATAGTAACATTCTCTCTTCTTAAGTAAGTAATTAGTGAAGTGTTTGTTCATATTTTTGTATAAATAGTCTATTGTTTTCTATGCTAATTATATATGCTGATTGCGCTGCTGGTGAAGAATGTTTTTATTTATGTAAGCAGCAGCAGCTTTCACCCTGTTGTTTCTCGTTTTAGTGTGGTGTTGGGTTATGTGATTGTGTTGGTGGGTGGGTGGATTTGATTAATTTGAGTGGGTGGGTGGGTGGAAACATGACGCTAAAAGTCTCAACTTGCCCCAAACATTGTCGCATTGTTGTTACAAATGGGTGACGACTTTCTCCCAGTGTTTCGTCTCTTGTGGTTTGCTACAGTACAGTTCTTGTTCTGGAAAGTAAGAAATGTGAGAAATGCGAGGTGTAAGAAACTGGGAGAAAGTGCGCCATCTAGTCACGCGCAGTATGAAGTACTTGGCGGGAAATATTTGAAATATTTATAGTTTCCATTTCCTGCAAATCAAAATATTCACCTCCAAAAAAGCGCTTTCTCTTCGCCATTTCTTGCAAATTTTTGCATGCTTTCACCCGACTCTCACTTGCATTTCTTGCAGGTCAAAATACTCACCTGCTAAAAACCACTTTCTCCCCTTATATTTCTTCCCAATGGTTCCTCTTACTTTCACCCTATGCAACACTGGACTTTCACTTTGTTGTTTGGATAATTTAAATCTGTACGTACGTACGTACCTCATTCTCGACATTCGTTGAGCTATCAAGTAAAATTCGAGGCTATGTAAATGTAAAGAGAAAGAGCGAGAGATTTTATTTCATTTCATCACCTCCGTCGTCATTAATTTCCACTAAAGTTTGGACTTTGAGGCATCAAATTTCAATGATTGCGAGGAGGAATTAGTCGGAGGAGGAGACGAGTTTGTTTGTCAAGTTTTGGTCGCCTTGTTCTTGCACCATTTCATTTCACTTATGTACGAGTGAAATCCCCCTTTGACAAAGAACAACAAGGACTTTTCACTCCACTCGGAAGAAGAGGAACAAGTAATTACGGGAGAGCTTATGTACAAAGAGTGGAGTGGAGGAGATCTTAGGCAGGTAGGTGGGAATGAATTGTGATAGTTTTTGGCAAAATTTTCCACTCTTCGTACATACGAATATAGTCACGTCCAAGGGGAACGCAAACCATGTTCAGGCCAGATTTTTTTTGGCCGTGTTAGTTTGAAAGGGCAACTCTTTGGAAGCTGCATTTTATGAGGAATTTGCACAGATGCGAAAATTCGGCAAGTTTAGGGCGCCGCAAGTTTGCGAAATGGGGACGCAAACAATATTCAAGCCAGATTATTTTTTGGCCATGTTAGTTTTAACTCTTTAGCGCGGAATTTGGACATGCGAAAAATTTAGAAAGTTATGGGCGCCAAAAGTTCGCGAAAACGCTCGGTTTTTCAGCGTAATCTGCGTCTTGCGACGGCACATGGCGGCGCCAAGAATTTGCTAAAATTTTCGCATCTGCGCAAGTCCTGCACTAAATGTTGTTTCTAAAGAGTTTCTCTTTCAAACTAACATGGCCAAAAAATAATCCGGGTTGAACATGGTTTACTTCCCCCCATTGTCAGTATTTGGTTCTTTAACAGACGTCACGAAATTAAATTAAATGGATTGGAACGGCGAATTTGTTGTTGTTCTTGGAGGTACGAAAATAATTGTGAGTACGTGAAAATCAGAGGAGAAGTTGAAGGACAAAGTCTTTCACTCGTAATTAAACACCTCAAAAGCAGAACCAGAGTGAAAGAACAAAGCAAATAAGGAGACACCAAAATCTGCTCGTGTTGCCAATAATGCTGCCAAAAAGTGTCACCATCAGAAGATGTGGATGTGGATGTGGATCAAGTAATAAGCTGGCTAAGATAACCTTGAAGGAAGGGAGGAAACAATGCAGTTTGGAGAAAGCCAGGGTATCGCTTCTTGCAGCTGGGATATATTTATTTCTTGCACTGGAAATCAAGAAATGTGAGGTGCAAGAAACTGGGAGAAAGTGCGCGAAATATGCGCCATCTATCCATGAAGTATAGCGGGTGAAGATAGTTTGTTGCTCTTTGCATTTCTTGCAGGTCAAAATATTCCCCTGCAATAAACCACTTTCTTTCCGTTATTTTTTCCAAATGATTACTTCCGTCCCGAAACACTAGAGAAAGTGGGAAGGAGAGAAAGTGGAAAGATTTTTCCCCAGAGCGGGTTTAAAAATGGACGAGTTTTATAGAACATTTCTCCCTGGGGAAATTACCCCTGTGTACAATTAGCACGAGAGACATACACACTTTTTACGCGACCACAAACCGCATTTCATTTTCCATTTCCTGAGACGTAAACGAAGAAGAAAGGGTCGCCTTTCAGCAAAGAAATTCACTCTTAAAAATCGGGTAAAGATTTGGTATTAATTTCCTACCGGATTGGTAGTAGGTTGCTGCTGAGTTGTAAACTAATCATTACTAGAACTTTAGTAAAAGGTAAATCCCGTTATTACCAGTGTCGGTAGAGTCATATAATGTATCATATAATATACTACGACCAGTAATGATTTAATACCCCACTGTTAAAAATCTAGTAGTGTCAGATATACTCCGTACTGATATTGATTTGGTAATAATTTTCTACCGGATTGGTAGTAGTTTTGTTTGCGAGTGGTAGATTTTTGATTACCACAACAATACTTTACGGTATTACCAGGATCGGTAAAGATTTAATACCAGTTTTTTAAGAGTGTAAGAAAGTCGGACAAAGCATGAAAAAATGTACTCAATCTTAGCCTTCTTTGTGACGTTGTTTTGCGACTTCTCGAGGGGGAGGGTAGCTTTTAATGGGAAATTTTGCACGTGCACAATCCACCAGACCGTGACCATCCACCCACCCACCCGGGGAGATGTTTTTATGTATAATTAATAATGTGTGCAGACATTACGTGTGTAATGATGAAATATGTAAGATTTCGTAATAAAATGTATGTATGTACAGAATTACGCAAAAGTGGGGTACAGACAGATTTAGCTTTAGTACACGGTTGACGACATGAACAATATGTAAATTAGTTATTTAAATTACTAGGTATGCATGCAAAATGTCGGATTAGGTTAAAAATTAGACGCATTTTGTAGAGTGAAAACAAATTTTCATGAATTTTCGTCCAGGTGCAGACATACTAGGTTTAAACTGCGTTTTTACATCTTGCTAACTTGCGCCATAGTTAAAGTAAATATAGCATTCGGCGCCAGTTGGTAAGTAGTGAGGTATAAACTCAGCTTTAAACTATATTTATGCATATTTCACACCTTACTAACTTGCGCCATAGTTAAAATATATACACAACTGGCGCAAGTTAGTAATGACTAAAGTATAAAACCAGCGTTTAAGCTATATTTCAACATATTTCACTCCTTGTCAACTTGCGCCATAGTTAAACCATAACATTTGGCGCAAGTTAGTAAGTAGTGAAGTATAAACATAAACACAGCTTTACATACATACAGATCTTTCTCTCTGGAGGGAAAAATGAGACAAAAATTTCTACAAAAATTCTCCCCACAACTTACGCCACATGTTACACACCTTCACAATATGGCGCAAATTACCCCGTTTATTCCATTCTTTAGTTTTCACCTCTCTACAAAATATGGTGATCATTTCCCACCTTACTCGTCACCATGGTGGCGTGTGGGGTCCCATTGTTGGAGGAGAAAGCGACGACATGTGTGTCCTGTAAGAGCAGGGCGGAATTTTCCGCGCCCCCGCCGTGCCCCGCCTGGGAAGACGGGCGCCGCAGCGGGAGCAACTCTTCCGGCGCGTGGTGCGTCGTGGAAGGTCGCGGCTTCGTGTTGTGCGGCGACGGGGCGTGGCGCCGGCATTGGATCACTTTTCGAAACGCCTTCCTGAAATTTTCCGACAGCACGGAGTAGATGAGGGGGTTCACGCAGGAATTCATGTAGCCCAAAACGTGCGCCGTGATCTGGATGGCGACAGAGAGGTCGGTGATTTCATAGAGTTTCAATGATTTCAAGAGCAGGACGACCTAGAAATAAAGGGGGAGAAGAGAAAGTGATTAGTTTATGGATGTTGGGATTGATTAAGGGGATAATTTGTCAAAGGTGTCATTTTATTTAGCTGGATGGGTATGGATAGATTGATAGGGTTTCGAATTTTGGAGTGGGGACATTTTTTTGGGGTGGTAGAAATGGGAAAAGTGGTTTTTATAAGGGTACAATGGAAAAAAGTTGGTGAAAGTAGCTGTTTAAAAGACAGACTAATTCAAACATGGGGATATGGTAAGAAGACTATTTATCCCATTTTTACCACCTATGTACATAGTTTAAGTGGTGGTAAAAATGGGAGAAATATAGGCTTTCTAATTTTCCCCACTGTTCACCTGTTTAAATCGGGGGTTAAAATCGGAAAAAATAAAGTTCCCCCATTTTTCCCAGTGCCACTTTTTAAGTTGGTTTGAATAAGTTGGGAAAATTAAATTTGTCCCATTTCCCACTTATTTCTAATAGTGGTAAAACCTGAAAACCGCCCTTTTCCCCATTTCTCACCTATTTTTATGCTTTGCAAAACCGTAGAAACCCCACTTTTTCAATTTCTCCCTATTTTTTCTTAACCGGTAAAAAAACTATGAAAACCCCACTATTTTCCACTCCTTCCTTCCCTAAAAATTTCAATCAAACTACTTTTGCTTACCTGAATTGGCAGCCAACACACCGCAAAAACTCCCACGACCACGACCACCATCCGCGTCACGCGTTTCTTTCCACGCAACGACCGTCCACTTGATCCCGCGGCGGAGACGGATTTCCAAAGTCGGAAAAGCATCCCGAAGTAGAGCAGACAAATGATGGCGAGCGGAATAGCGTAGGAAGTGAGCATGAAGGAAATCTGAAACGCGGCGTGGTTGTATTCCTGATTAAATGTGCAGGCTGCATGGGACTCGTACGCGTATCTGCAAAAAAAATTAGCACATGCAAATTTTGTAAATATTAAAGTGTAGTGGTTGTGTGTCACATCTGTCGCTTTCTTTCTTTTCGGGAGTCCATTTTTTGTGGGAGAAGGAGTGAAAGTCAAGTGGAAACGGGACGCGTTCTTTTTTAGCTGTCATTTTTCTTTCCGCGTCAGCTTTCACTTTTTATAATCGTTTTTTCTTCAGTGTTTCATTTCTTGCGAGGAGCTAAATGTATTTCTTGCATGGAAAGGGAGAAATGCAAAAAATGCGAGGTGCAAAAAACTGGGTGCAATAAATATGCGCTATCCATCCACGCGCCGTGCGAAGTATTTACAGCGGCGGGGCGCCGTTTCTTACGCCTTGCATTTCTTGCAGGTCGGAATTTACCCGCAAAAAACCACTTTCTCCCCGTTATTTCATGCAAGTGGTTACTTTCACCCGAAATTTACGGGATTAGGAAGGACTACTTTCACCCATTGTTTCGTTTCTTATGGGTTTGCCACATTTCTTGCACTGCAAAGCAAGCAATGCAGAAAATTTTGAGATGCAAGAAACTGCACGAAACCTGCAAGAAACTGCAAGAAATACGCACCATCTAGCCACATGTTCTGTGAAATATATTGGCGGGGCATAGTTTCTTTCTTCTCGCTATTTCTTCCAAGTGGTTACTTTCACCCGAAACACTAATCATTTTACTACCCTTTCTCTCCGCGGATTCGGTTTTGCCAAGACTTATACTTATTCAATATTTATGCCCACATTTTCATGTCCCGTATAATAAATCATTCACTTTGTTTTATTATCTCTCTCGGCACGAACGACCCAATTAAAATTAGAGCCAGTACTCCGACAAGTTAAGTTTCCTCCGAAGAACTTAACCTGTCATCACACCCTTTTTTCGGTATAAACAGACCGCTCCGACGCATTGGCCGTGGAACAATGTCCCCACACTAACTCAATGTCCCCATCATCTCCCCATGCTATGCATACCCCTCCCTCCCCCCATCCCACAATATTACCGTCCCCCCATGTCCCCACCGCTTCCGCGGCCACTGTTCCGAGCTGCTGCATTATTGATGCCCCGACCCGTGGAAAGGTTGATGTGATGTGTGTGTGAAAACAAATCCATCAAAACTGTTTTTCATGCAAAAAACCTAGAAATTTATTGTTCCAAACTTTTTTATGAATTATTCTTCCCGAAAATAAATTTTGTTATTCTCAAGACTTGTTTTCAATTCACGAGGAAAATGCATGATTTCGTTCGATTTCGAGTAATAGAATTCCTTTAAGACACCGATATCCTTATACGTTGCATGCATTGGCCGCGGAAGCGTGGTGACAGAGGGACAATGTCCCCACGGTTGTTCGATGTCCGCATCATCTCCCCATCTTACATAAACCCATCCCTCCCCCCATCCTACAATGTTAACTTCCCCCGATGTCCCACACCTTCCGCGGCCACTGATTGCATACATATATGTCTGGATTTTTTACGTGGTGTTGAGTAAGATATCGTCTCACTCACGTAATAAAGTTAAACTTTCTTTCTTTCTTTTCTGTCTGGATTCTCAAAATGAGAAAAAAAGAGCAAACGTGTTATTGCAATATTATTTTCAAGGATTCATTTCAATTTATTGGAGAAGAATTGATTTGGTCAGAAGTAAGTGGGCGATTCTGCGAACATTAATACATAACATAACTTACATGCGGAGGCTGGCTGACAAGGGAAAATGAGCAACTGGTGTATGTATTGTACTGCATTTCATTGTGTTATTTATTACACGATGCCAATACTTGTAGGGATTTTGCCCGTGCAAATTATGTATTATTGCTATTATTACCGTTTCGCAGAAATGTTTGTGCCACATTAACAAATGTGACCGAGGCTTTGAGAGAAAATAATAATGATGCAAGTACAACTACAAGTAAGTTTGCTGCTTTTCGCGAATACCTAATAATGCAAAATGGTGCCCTGGCTAAATTTGCAAACTTTGTCACTACACAAGAAGATGGATGATTGGAAAGTGGAAATTGAAATACAAAGGTGACACATAGCTCGACAGGAGAAAACGACATGGATTATGTAGCAGTGAGTCGTGGAATTCTTGTCTTTTGTACTGCCTCCCCAAATTCCGGGGACTTAATGAAATGAGAAATTATGAAATTGGAAATAAGCAATATTTCCCATTTCTCATTCCACGTACGTGGCTTATTAAACTTGTAGTGTTTCATCTTTTGGGTCATTATGCAAGCTCTGGTTGGTTATTATTTCTCTGCTCGTGTAATGTATTAGAAAATAGATTGAGAATTAAGTGGAGGAGGGGAGAACATGTAATGTAATGAGGTGACCTTGGTTTTTGGGCAGATGAATTCTTCATGCCAACAGAATAACATCCAGCCCAGAATGACAAGACGGACGAAGCCAAATGTGTATGTGTGTGTTACATATACTTAACTCTGAATTATTGCCATCAGTTCTGGCATTGTGTCCATTTTTCTGGGTATGTATACACATACGAATGCCAATGGCAAGCTGTGTCCGTGTTGAAGTCTGTTTGCTATGTATGCATGTGTATTTGTATGTACAGTGGCCGCGGAAGGGTGGGCGGCGACAGGGGGACAATGTTCCCACGGCGGTTCGATGTTCGCATCATCTGGTCATGTTATAGAAAAGTTTGCATGTCCTATCCTACAATGGGAACGTCCCCAGATGTCCCCACGGCTTCCGCGGCCACTGGTCTTGTACGGTGCCAGTGTGTTATTTACGTATCCTGTCTGTTATGTGTATGTATGTACAGTGGCCGCGGAAGCGTGGGTGGGGATAATGTTCCCACGGTTGTTCGATGTCCGTATCATCCTGTATAAACCTCTGTCTGTCCTATCTTACAATGGAAATGTCCCCCCATGTCCCCATACCTTCCGCGGCCATTGTTTATCTATATCTACCGGCCAGTTTTACAGCTCATAACAACCTCCACACAACCCTCTTCGTCGGCCAGAAGTGTATTGAATCCGTTCAAATCGTCACTTGTTTTGTCCGAGAATTTGACATTTTTTCCCATTAATCATCATGGCACCTATCATCCTAGCGTATTGGGATATTCGTGGGGTAAGTTTGTATGTATGTGTGTTGTGATAAGACGTTATCTTTTTCCGCGTGTCCATGTTTTTGGGGGTGTGTCGTGACATGTGTCATTTGATAAGGAAACATTCTATTTTGTATTTTTTGTTTCTTAGTTCGCCCAGCCGATCCGTCTCCTCTTGGCGAATTCGGGGCTTGAGTGGGAGGACAAGCTGTACGTGACCGGACCTGCCCCCACGTTCGATAAGACGTGCTGGTTCGGTGAAAAGGAAACTTTGGGATTCGATTTTCCAAATGTATGTAACACAAAATAAAAACATTGTCATTTGTGTAGTGGTGTCAGTGTTTCGAGGGGGGAAGTAAGTAACAAGGTGCAAGAAATAAGGGGGGAGAAAGTGGTTTCTTGCAGGGGAATATTTTGACCTGGGAGAAAATTTAGGGTGCAAGAAACTAGGTGACGCCGTTTTAAATAGTTTTTATGGTGGGTTGCTAGATGGCGCAGATTTCTTGCAGTTTCTTGTACCCCGCATTTCTTGCATAGCTTACTTTGTAGTGCAAGAAATAGATGCAGGAAAGTGGTTTCTTGCAGGGGAGTGTTTTGATCTGCAAGAAATACACAGCACATAAAACTATGCCCTATTATAGTTAATTCAGCGTGGCTAGATGGCGCATATTTCTTGCAGATTTTTAAAGTTTCTTGCAATTTCTTGCAATTTCTCGTAGTTTTTTGGACTTTCTTGCAATTTCTAACAGTTTCTTGCACTTTCTTGCACTTTCTTGCACTTTCTTTCACCTCGTATTTCTTGCTTTCTTTCAAGAAATGTATGTAGCAGACCGGCAACAAATCGAAACACTGGTTTCGTCACCCGTCCACTGTTATCTTTATGTATGACAAAATTCAATTTAAAAGTCATCCTGTAAATATTTTTCCAATATCGGACACCCATTTCCTTCGTCCAATATCATGACATTATTATCATCCGTATCATCATTCCTTTTCTTTCCTTCCAGCTGCCATATCTCATCGACGGTGACGTGAAAGTGACCCAGACGATCGCCATTATTCGCTACCTCGCTAGAAAGACGGGGCTCGCTGGGCAGTCGGACGACCAGCAGAGACGCATCGATCTAATCACCGAGGAATGGCACGATTTCAAGGGACCCTTCTACCCGCTCTGCTACAACCCAGAGTTTGTACGTAATAATCCCAATAATTACTTGTCAGTTATGAAACCACACGGGATAATTAAGGAGGAAGATCAAACATAATTTATGGATTGGAGTGATGATTTTCGTGATTTTGAGCATGATTCACATACGTTTTAGCGTGATTTTAATGATTTTTGAGCGTCATTTTCATGATTTTTTAGTGTGATTTTACAATTTTTGAGGATAATTTTTGATTTTTGAGTACGTTTTAGCGTGATTTTCATGATTTTTTAGCTGAATTTTAATGATTTTTGAGCGTGATTTTACAATTTTTGAGGATAATTAATGAATTTTGAGTACGTTTTTCGTGGTTTTGAGCATAACTTCTTATTTTTTGGCATGATGATTTTCATGATTTTTTAACATAATTTTTTTATTTTTGGGCATGATTTTAATAATTTATGCTCATAATTTGATCACAATTTCTATCATTTCTGACTATGATTTAGCTCATTGAGCATTATGTTTTATTTTTGCCCATAATTTTCATAATTTCCGAACCTGATTTTCATAATTTATGTTTATAATTTTGTATTTTTTTATCACAACAGCACTCCTTGAAACCTGCCTACTTGACTAACGCGGCCCTAAAACTGGCCCGTTTTTCTAAATACTTGGGCGACATGGCGTGGTTTGCTGGGGATAAGGTGAGCCTGTCGCTTATCTAACTATGCATAACCTTATCTTATCTTATCTTAATCCCTTTCCAACTCGAACCAGTTATTAACACCTGGTTCATCATTATTTTTTATGCTTATCTACAGCTCACCTACGTGGATTTCCTAATGTATGAAATATTCGATGAGCACAAACTCCTCGAGCCCACGATTCTCTCAGCGTTTCCGAACCTGGAGGAATTTCAGGCACGATTCGAAGCCTTGCCGAAAATCGCGGAATTCATCGCGTCCCCAAAATTCATCAAGTATCCGATCAACAATAGAATGGCTACTTTTGGGGGATGATGAGAAAATGGGAGAAATTTCCGCTGAAATTCCCACATAAAATTTACATTGAAAAGTTTGATGTAAAAATAAAGGCAGCTTATCATCATTCCAAATTCATCGTTTTTTGTCTATTTTTTTATATCACACAATTTAAAATTTATACAGAAATCTTATGCAGAAAGTTTCCACGCAAAATTTCCATAAAACATTATTATGCATAAACAAAGGCATTCAAAGACACCGCTTTTTTCAGTTCTTTGATAATTTTTTTCATGTCCTGCGATTTAAAATTCATTCAGTAACCACAGAATGACGATTTTCTGGGGGTGCGAAAGCTGCAGAAATCTACGCCAAAATTTTCACCCAAAATTTTCAGCAAAAAAAATAAAAAATATCGAAAATATTAGTAATGACACCTGATCATTTTCCAAATTCATCGTTTTTTTCAATTTATTACGTCATACAATTTCAAATTCATCCTATCGAACAGAATGACACTTTTCAAGAAAATGGCAGAAACTTTCAATCAAAATTTCCACCAGATCATAATAAACTCCCGATTTTCTTCGCACAGTTGAAACTGTTGCATAAAAAACATCTCATCATTGCAAATATTCACCATTTTTGCCAATTTTTTTCATTTCAAATTTTCCACCAGGAGGAGATCATAATAAACTCGCGATTTTCTCCACACAGTTGAAACTGTTACGTATCCAAAAAAATACATCTCATCATTCCAAATATTCCCCGTCTTGTCCCCTCTTTTATTTTTTTCTGCCAATTTTTTCCATCACGCAATTTAACATTTTCATGCAGAAAATTTCCACCAAAAATTTCCATCAAAAAATTTTATGTAAAAATGACGACCATCATTCGAATTTCGCCAATTTTTTTTTTACTTAAAAATAACAGAAATCTACGCAAAAATTTCCCCTAAAAATTTTCATCAGATAAAAATTCTATGTACAAAATAGAAGCAACTGATCATAAATAGTTCAAAATTGATCGTTTTTTTACACTTTTTCTGTCTCACAATTTAAAATTCATCTCAAATATGACGACATTCCTTGGATAACAAAGTAGCAGAAACTTTCACTCAAAATTTCCACCCATCATAAACTCCCGATTTTCTCCACACAGTTGAAACTGTTACGTATCCAAAAAAATACATCTCATCATTCCAAATATTCCCCGTTTTGTCCCCTCTTTTCTTTTTTCCCTGCCAATTTTTTCCGTCATGCAATTTTGTTATATTTGATTTATCCATAAACGAAATTAAGCTGGGGATCAAGTTCCACGCGAGTTGGTGCACACATCATGACGACGACGACGACGAAGACGACAAATACCATGCGAGCCAGTTTTACACATCACCTGCGCCGGAGAAAGTGGCGGATTTTGCATGCATGGAGACAGTCTTTTCACTCCCGAGGAGAGAAAAATGTGTGCTCAGAAGGCGTGAAATGGACTCAATTACTTTGCAATATTGGAAAAAAGGAGGAAATGAAGGGGAAGATTTATTATCGTGACGAGTACGTGTGGCCGTGGCAGCTAAAGGTCGTAAGTACATAGATTCGGATTGTAGTAGGCACTACTTTCACCCAGTGTTTCTACGATTCTTTGCTACATTTCGGGGATTGGGGAGGATGAAATGGAAGAAATACGGGGTGCAAGAAAGTGTGATAAATAACCTGCATTAAGTGGCGAGCCATATGAACTATTTATAACGGCGGGAAATAGTTTCTTGAATCGGGAATTTCTTGCAGGTCAAAATTTGTAACTACAAAAAAATCCTTTCTTGCTATGTACATTTCTAACAGTTGAAAGCAAGAAATTAAAGAAATGTGAGGTGCAAGAAACTGCAAGAAAGTGAAAGAAACAAGCGCCATATGAAGTACAGCGGCAGGAAGGAGTTACTTTCTTGCGCATTTCTTGCAGGTCAAAATACTCGCAAGAAACCAATTTCGTTCTACATTTCTTGCACTGCAAGACAACTAACGTAAGGTGCAAGAAACTGCAAGAAAGTGCACGAAATATGCGCCATCTACTAACTAAATATAGCGGCGTGGCGCACTTTCTTGTACCTTACATTTTCCCCAGGTCAAAATAAACCACTGTCTTCTCCCAGGTCATTACTTACTTTCACCCGAAACACTGCTTTCACCCAGTGATTCGTCGTCGTCCGAATCAGCGCTTTCTCTCTCTTCTCCAAATCTCTTTCTCTCTGCTTAATAAGTCCGCCACCTCCACCTCCACCTCCACAGAAAAATAAATTGTCCACCACACCACCACCACCACCACCCCGAGTCAAAGGCTACCTACCCACCTACAAAGCTACCTCGCACTAGGCGACACCATCCAATCCACCATCCATTTTTTCGAAATGAATCTCTCTAATATACCGATGACTTGTTATTGTTCTCCATCTGCCCACCTGCTTTTCTCTCCTTTGTTCCAATCCATATGCAATTTTCCTCCAGTGCACTTGGCAGGCTGCGCGACCACCAAAAACCAAACCACAAAGAGAAATGCCAAGGTCAAGGACAATGCAGACTTGGTTTGGTCGTGAATCACAATATGTCAATAAGTAAAGTAACGAAAGGAAAGTTTGGTGGGATGCAGGTGAAAGTGAGGAATTAAAGGAAAAATTAAACTAAAGTGTGGCCACACCTGTGGCTTGGCTTGGAAGGATGATCAGTGGCCGCGGAAGCTGTGGGGACGTCGGGGGACGTTATGGGGGGAAGGAGAAGGGTTTATATAACATTGGGATATCGAATAACCGTGGGGACATTGTCCCTATGTCCCCACCCACGCTTCCGCGGCCACTGCATCATCCTAATACTTTTGAGTAGCCTGAATTGTCCCAGTGGCCACGGAAGCTGTGGGGACATCGGGGGACGTTAATATTGTAGGTTGAGGGGGAGGGACGGGTTTATATAAGATGGGGAGATGAAGGGGACATCGAACAACCGTGGGGACATTGTCCACTCACGCTTCCGCGGCCACTGAGGATGCTACGTACGGTGAAAGTGGGGAAAAGTTAGCCCTGTAATTGATTAAGTTTCCCACTTGGGCGCACTTTCACCATAAGGGAAGGGAAACTAGATACTGAAAGACATGGACGAGTGAGGGGAGATCATCATCATTGTGAAGTAATTATTCAGCACGGCTCAAAGAAGATGAAGGAGAAATAATGTTGCGTCTCATCACGTTTCGAGGTAATTTTTGGTGCGTATTTTGTGGTGAAGGTCATGGTGGTTTGATGGTATAATTTGATGCACACTGGGTAAACAATGTGGTAATGAAATTGCGACTGAAATTTGTATCTATTTTGTAAGAAATTTATGAGATTTGTTACTAATTGTTAGATAAAATTGAGGCTAATGTCTTGTCGATTTATCTATGTTAACTGTCCATGAAATTCAAAATTTGCTACTAATTTCTAACTGAAATTGAGGTTAAACGACGGAATATCGAGTACACGATTTTGTTACCGCATTATTATTACCATATAACGCTTAACTAATGCAGCCACCTAATGCCTCACTAAAACTAACCTTCCCTGCTTTCTCCTCAATTCAATATACAGTTTTGTTACCACAATTTTATTACCTTGGTGGTTAGGCGACACTATAATTTCAAGCATTCTAAACAACACGTGGTTTAGAATTGTGACCGAATTTGTAACCATTTAGATAGCTAATTTTCCACGAAATTCAAAATTTGTTACCACAAATAAGATTAATTTACATATTCTACGATTATTCCAACAAGAGAAAATCCCCGTAAACAATTTTGTTACCACATTATTTACCGAGTGGAGATACCAACTCCGCTAAAAACTAACCTTTCTTCTCCACTTTTTCCTCGCCTCCTTTACTTTCACTTAAGGTTTTTCTCCCCCTTTAAGAGAGCCAAGTTTCATTTCAACTCCTTCTCTCTGATTGAATTGGATTGGATTAAGGCGAAAGGTGCTGAAAAGAAGGTTGGACACCACGGATGGATGAATTTAGACGGCCAAGTTATTTGTGCTTCTCAGCCTACTTCGCCCCCTCATATGTGCAAACAGATGTACATACATACGTCCATTTCTTCTATTTACAAGGGCACGGAGCAGTGTTTCATTTCTTGTAGTCCAAATTAATAAATGCGAGGTGCAAGAAACTGGGAGAAAGTGCAAGAAATGTGTGCCATTTAGCCACGATTCGTATGAACTATTTACAACGGTGGATAATAGTTTCTTGCGGCGTGCATTTCTCCCAGGTCAAAATATTTAGCTGCAAGAAACCACTTTCTCCCCGTTATTTCTTGCAAGTGGTTACTTTCACCCGAAACCAGGGGGTCAGTAGTGTCTACTTTCACCTAAAACAAGGGGTCAGTAGTTTATACTTTTACTAAGTGTTTAGTTTCTTGCAGGCTTGCTACATTTCTTGCACTGCAAAGTAAGAACCGCATGAAATTCGAGGTGCCAAAACAATGCAAGAAATATTTCGTACGAAGTATATCGGCAAAGCGTAGTTTCTTGCAGGTCAAAGTAGCTGCTTGAAACTAGTTTCTTGCCGATATTTCCTGCCAGTGTTTAACACTTTCACCCGAAACACTAACCCCTGCCCGTGAGGTGAAAGCTTATTTCGTCCACGTCCACATCCAGATCCACACATACATAAAATGTTGTTGAATGAAATTGTTCCCACTTTCTCCATGCATTTAAATCAACAAACGTGTTACGCAAATCGTCTCTTCCCCGAAAATCCTAATCCTGCCAAACCACCCACATTTAATTCTCCTCCCTTACTTTCTCTCCTGCTGCCGGAAAGAAGTTTCGCAATATTAAAGCCAGCAAACATGGAAGGCTGGAAAGTAAGTAATTTGCGAAATAACACCTCCAGACGTGGGCCAAATACTTTGTCAAAATATAGTATTTTGAGCTCTGTTTGGATTTCTGGGGGTGGTACATCCACAAAAACACGAAAATCTGCGCGGAGAAAGCAACAATCGTACGAAAATACAGGTTTTGTGAAGATATTAACTTTTTATCGCGGTCAAAATACTTAATTTTTTAGAAAAATCGTGAAATTAACGTAGTTTGACAAGGATAAAAAGTTGATTTCTTCACAGAACCTGTATTTTCGTCATACCTGTTCACCTTCATTCATGTGACTGGTTATGATAGAGAATGATGGTGAATGAAAATGAATTTCCTGTGATTTGAATCAAAATGAGTGAAAGATTCCGTCATTTCAGATGAATGACTGTGAATGAAAGGATTTCTCACTCATTTCATTTTTCACCCTATGCTTAATACATGGGGCGAAATAAGAATGAAGTGAGATGAAGTGAAATAAAATGAGTTTGAACCAAAATTCCTGAACGTGAATGAAAATCTTCAGTCAGAAATCAGGGTAACTGAATTTTGAATGAAAAAAAAAGTTTTTTTTGAACAGGTATGCTGTTACCTTCTCCACGTAGATTTTCGTCTTTTATTGGGTTACCAGCCCCAGAAATCTAAACCTTGGGAAGAACCGATCTCAAAATCCTAAAATATTTTGCCCCTCCCTGACCACCTACATACGTTCGCCTTTGAGTGAGATCAAGTTTACTGGGTCTGACATACATGGAACTTGGCTCATAATGCGATGCGATGGATGCAGTTACTCATGAAACTTATTGACTTTCTCTTCTCTACTTTCTCTCACTAATGTTGATGTTGATGGGTAGGCGAAATCTACTCTTTTCATCTCATCAATAATTGATCAAGTGTATCCTCAAAACGGGAGAGAATCCATCCAGTCAAAAACAGGCGGAGAGTTATTAATCTCTCACCGAGATGAGATGAGAGGAGAGGCGAGCTATAATAAGTAGTGCTTCGTGGCCGGCAGGGGAGCTAAATGCATTTCTTGCAGTGGAAAGCAAGAAATGGGAGAAATGGGAGGTGCAAGAAATGCAGGAAATTCGAGGTGCAAGAAGTGGGCAATAGCCACGCGCCGTATGAAGTATAGCGGAGGGAAGTATTTGTTTTTGTGCCGTGCATTTCTTGCAGGTCGAAATATTTAGCTGCAAGAACCCACTTTCTTGCAGTTATTTCTTGCACGTGATTACTTTCACTCAAACTACGTGGTCAGAAGTGATTACTTTCACCCAGTTTTTCGTTTCTCGTGGATTTTCTACATTTCTTGAACGGCAAACCGAGCATCGAAAGAAATGCGAGGTGCAAGAAACTGGGAGAAAGTGCAAGAAATATGCGCCATCTAGCCACACAACGTATGAAGTATTTATAGCGGCAGGATCTAATTTCTTGCACCTCGCATTTCCCCCAAAATATTCCCCTGCAAGAAAAAAACCACTTTCTCCCCCTCATTTCTTCCAAGTGTTTAATACTCCCACCCTCCGTAACACTGCCTACTCGTACATAATAATCCGTGAAGCTCACCAGACCTTTTTTTTCCTCGTGCTGATTACCAATGCTCATCGCACCGAATAAACTAATGAGAGAGTCGATTTCTTAAGAAAACAGGAGGAGAAAAGGCATTAAAAGACTTAATCCGTTTGAAGAAGAGGGAGGAAGTTGAGTGGGGCGTTAGTGAGCTCATTTTTTTCTTCTGAGTAAAATAAATATGACATACACTACACAAGCGGAAAGAGGGTGGCCGTGACCCTGACGAGAATTGCTAATCCGAGGGGATAATCTCTCTCTCACCTCGCATTTTCTTGATGAGACAAGTTTTTTTGGCAGCTTTTAGGTAAATATGACCACCACCCTGATCCTGAGGAATCGTCACAGTGTTGCTAATCTTCCCGGGGAGGATTATTTCCCATGTTGTGTTAACAAGTTTTAAATAATTTCCATTCTAAAAAGTGCCTACATTAATTCAGTGAGGTACATGTCACACATCCGGCTCCACGTGTCAAAGGATATAAATATTTTACCACGTGGTTACCAGGCACTTAATCCGCAGTGAAGGTAATGCGACAGGCTTCCTATTGGCGTGAAGGGAAAAGTTGATGTGGGGACGATCTTTTAGGAAAGCTGGACAATGATTCCTTTCCGAAAGTTGGGTACAGTTTGACCTAAGGTTTTTATACTGGGTGAAATGAATATTACGTCAAACCACTCCGTTACCCTGAGCAACATATTGCTAATCTGACGAGGGGATAATCTCTCATGGCGTCATTTTCTTGATGAGACAGGCTTTTTCCGCATAAATATGTCTACCACCAACACCGTGACCCTGAGGAATTGTCACAGCGTTGCTAATCTTCCTGGGAGGATTATGTCCCACGTCGTGTCATTTAGTGGGAAAGAATTTTTTTTACGGGGAAATTATTTCATGTGAAATGACGATTTCTTAAGAAAACTGGACAACAATTCCCTTTTCGTAGGGGGAGGTGAAAGTCAGTACTCAGTTTTTTTTTACTGGGAGAAATAAATACGACACGCGGGGATACCGTGACCCTAAGGAATCGTCATTAACCTGGCATCGCTAGTCTTCCGGGGGCAAGGATTATCTCCCACATTGCGTCATTTAGTGACGTTTTTTTGCAATTTTATAGGAAAAATTTATGTTAAAGGGACCATTTCTTAAGAAAACTGGACAATAATTCATTTTTCGGAGAAGAAAGTCAATCGGGTACAGCGTTACCTTAGGAAAAATTGATGTTAAAGGGACTATTTCTTAAGAAATCTGGACAATAATTCCTTCTTTTTCATAGGAGAAAGTCAATTGGGTACCACGTTACCTTAGGAAAAATTTATGTTAAAGGGACGATTTCTTAAGAAAACTGGACAATAATTCATTTTTCGGAGGAGAAAGTCAGTTGGGTACCGCGTTACCTCAACGTTTTTCTATAAATATGACAACATCCAACAAACCACGCGGGGAGACCGTGACCCTGAGCAAGATTGCTAATCCGACTCGGGGATAATCTCTCCCACCTCGCCTCGTGGTGTCACTTTCGTAATGAGCGTCTCATTACGAGACAGCCTGTACTAAGAAAAGTATAAAAAGGTCGACCTACTCATAGAAGGTGAGTCCGTGGGCGGATAAGACGGGGAGACAGGAGATGAGAACGATGGCCCAGGTGATGGCGATGGCGAGATAGGTATTGTTCTCCGTCCGGATCGAGATGGACGCCACGGGATAGACCACTGCCAGAAAACGGTCCACGCTCATAATCACCAAGGTGTACACGGATACGTAGGCCGTCACGATGATGAGATATTGGACCGTTTTGCACCAGCTGTAAAAGGAGGAATTAAATTAAATTTTTGCATTGATTTCTTTGTTTTTAAGAAAATTGCTTTCTCTTTTTGGCTTTCTCTATTTTTTCAAGGAAAATCTCGTTTTTATAGAGGAAACGCAAGTTTTTGGGAAAAATAATTAAGTTTTTAAGTGATAAAAACCTTGATTTGCTGAGTAACAAGAAATTTTTTGTACTCATTGTATGTATTTTGGGTTGAATTTTAAGAAATAAATTAGTAAAATTAGTCAGCTATTTTTAAACTAAAAGATTTTTTTTGAGAAAAATGATCGGATTTGTACAAAACTAGTTTATTTCTCGGGTATTTTAAAAATAAAAATCTCGTGTTTTATTTAACCGATTAGATTTATAAAAGCGAATTTCGTATTTTTTAAATCAAATTTTTTATTGAAAAAAAATAATTGGATTTATATATATAAAATCTCGTTTTTCTTGTAAAGGTGAAATTTCTGATAACTTTAATTTCTGATAACTCCATCTGCCGAATTGGTCACCCTAAATTTGTAACCTTCCACAAAATGCATTCACTCGAAAAGTCACAAAACTTTCCAACATATCTCCCGAAACCAAATTACATACTAAATTGTCACGACGCAAAATGACACTGACATTGACACATCATCTCCCTCCTCCTCGCCCCCAAACACCCCGTCGTTCGTCTCGTTACATAAGTGCACTTACATTAACCCGAACGGCCAATACGTCAAGACGTAATCCGCCGCCGTGAAAGGGACACAAAAGATGATGAAGAGCAAATCCGCAATGGCCAAGTTGATGATGAGAATGTTGGTGGTGTTTCTCATCTGTGCGTTCGAAGCCACGACCAGCACGACGAGTCCGTTCCCGACCAGCCCCACGATGAAGATGACCCCAAAGAGGGCAGGGACTACGAGCGAGACGATCCTTTCAAGGTCCATTCCTTCCTTGAAGTCCTACAAACAGAGAAATAAATAAATCCAGGTAAATTAAAGGGAAAAGTGGCATAAAAATGGTATAAATTGGAGAGAAAGAAAGTCAGGAAAACTTTCACTCGAGGAGATTCAGGTTTTGGTGTAGTGTTTCGGGTGAAAGTAAGTAATAATTTGGACGAAATAAAGGGGAGAAAGTGTATTTTTGCGGGTTATTTTGACCTGCAAGAAATGCACGGGGCAAGAAACTAAGTCCCGCGGCTATACTTCATACGGCACGTGGCTAGATGGCGCATATTTCTAGCATTGCAGTTTTTGAATTTTTTTGCAAAAAGTGTAATAAGGAAGCATGTTTTTTTTGCAGGTAAATATTTTGGCCAGCAAAAAATGAACGGATCCTTCCTTGAAGTCCTACAGTCAAACAAATCCATCCATCCAGGTAAATTAAATGGGAAAGTAGCATAAACCATGAGAAAAATTACTTATATAAATTTTCTAGAGAGAAAAAAAGCGAGGAAAACTTTCCCTCGAGTTGATTCTGAGCTTGGTGCAGTGTTTCGGGCGAAAGTAAGTCACAATTTTCAGTAAATACCGCAAGGAAAGTGTTTTTCAGTAGGTAAATGGTTTGACCTGCAAGAAATGCAAGGTGCAAAAAACTACTTCCCGCAGCTATGCTTGCTTAATTGCGAATATTTCTACACTATCCTGCAATTTTTTTCACCTCGTATTTCTTGCATTTTTAACTTTCCAATACAAAAAATGTAGCAAATCTACAAGAAACGACACACTTCACTTTCTTTCTTTGGCCTGAATTTTACTCAACTTTCCCTCATCTCAAAGAACTTTTTCCTCCTCTCGGTTCTCTGTTTGTGGGCCCAATTTTATTTAAAATGCGACTTTCCCATGCATGCAAAAGGATAAATTCGTTTTTCAAAAGAGTAGGAGAATTTCGGTACGTAATTAGAAAACGTATCCTGTAGCAGGACATGATCCTTTGTCGTAATAATGGCTGCCGCTGCTTTCTCTTCTCTCTCATTATTTCTTGTCTTTCTGGTCTCTCCTCCTGCTTTCTCGTAAATTTCTACTTTCTCCAAGACTAGGACTGCCCCGCTCTTTGCCCCGTGAGTAAGTAAACTGACAACGGAGGTGTCCCAGCGTATGCTTTGGAATTTTGGCAAATTAGTGTCAATAGATCACAAATTTAATTAGGACGAAATTTTGAAAAGACATGATCTCTTAATGGGCACGTTTGGCCACGATATTTGTATCCGAAGAGGAGATAACGCGCATAAAATTTGGAAAGTGTAAAGTTTTTAGACTTTATGGCGGGGTTTCTCCTCTTCGGATGCAAATATCTCTGGCCAAACGTGCCCATTGAGAGATCTTGTATTTTGCGAATTGCATCCTAATTAAATTTGCGACCGATTTACACTAATTTCGCAATCACATCGCACACAGCGCAATTTTAATTAAATTGAAACTTCTCAAAGACGCGATCTCCCATGTGTCATAGTTTTTAAACCAGTTTTGTAAATTGATAACTATTAACACGAGAATAAAGGTCTAAATCAATTAAATCAACGTTTTGTCACTTTTGGCCAAGATATTTCCATCCCAAGAGGAGAAAACGCCCAGTAAATTTGGAAAGTGTAAAATTTGTAACCTTTAAGGCACCCTTTCTCCTCTTCGGATGCAAATATCCCTGCTCAAAGTGCCCATTGAGAGATCGTGTCTTTCGCAAATTTCATCCTAATTAAATTTGTCATCGATCGACACTAATTTGCCCAAAACCGGATCGCATTCGCTGGGAGACCTATGCATTCTGCGAGGCAGATTGCGCTCTTTGCCCCGTGAGTGAGTGAGTTGGGGATCATTATTGTTCTATTTTATTTTACTTACGAGGACAGGACAGGACAGGCCGGGACAATACATTTCTGTCCAAAAGTAAGGACTCCTCTCTCCCCCTCTCGCACTTTCACTCACTGCATAACGGAAGGCATTTACTAATCTAATGAGACTGGGCCGGAAGTTGGCTCCCTTTCCCACTTTTGACCTACTTACTTTACTCCTCTCTCTCTCTCTCTCTTTTGTTCCTTCCTTGCGCTCCAAGTTGGGTTCTTCTAAACTTTGGTGAAATTTAAGACACGTTTAGCTACTCTTTAAGACTGCTTATTTGAATGGGGAAGAAAAGCTGTATTGTCTTCGGGATAGAGTTATGAGTTCACTTTCTCCGCATAATTTTTAGAATGGAATGTGCCAAATGTGGAAGTAGTTCTCAGGGGAGAAAGTTGCATAAGAGAGGAGAGGAGAAAGCAGCTGAATATTTTTTTGTTTGCTACTTTGGGGACCACACCCACTCAGGAAAAAGACTCACGGACAATGACATTCACCTATTTTTTTACTGTGGAGTTACGATTAACTTTCTCCGCATAATTTCCGAGTGAAATTTGCGAAATTTGGCTATTTCTCAGGAGTAAAAGTTGCATAAGAGAGGAGAAAGCACCTGACGAAAATTTCTGCTTGCTACTTTAGGGACCACACCCACTCAGGAAACCGACTCATGGGCGACGAATTTCACCTATTTTTACCGGTGCATATTCTCAAGTTACTATTCACTTTCTCCGCATAAGTTTTCGAAAGAAATGCACGAAATTTGGTTGTTTGGCTAGGGCAAAAGTGGCTTAAAAGAGGAGAAAGCAGGAAAAAAAATTCTGCCTTCTGAAAAAATTTTCTGAAAAATTTTCTGCTTTCTAAAAAACAAATTTCCCTTGTAAATAAGTGGGGGACCATAGCCACTCAGGGAAGCGATTTAGTGACGATTTTTACCTACTTTTTTTACCACATCTATACAACGGAACGGATTAATGATCCACTTTCTCCGCATAATTTTTCTAATGGAACGTGCCAAATCTGACTACTTTTTAACGACAAAAATTACATAAGAGGGGAGAAAGCATCCCAAAAAACACTGCTAGCTCACTGGGGACCACACCCACTCAGCAAAACTAACGACTACTTTCACCTATTTTTTCCTTCCCACGATTCATTCATTTTCATCAAGCAAAAGAGCGAGGGAGAATTCCCTCAAGAGCGGAGGAAGAGAAAGCAGTCAGTCTAATTTATATGCGTCGTTGCCTACTTATTTATTATGACGGGGACGTTTCTCTCTCTCTCAGATTTTTATTATGGTGATAGAATTCCCCAGATTATTGTAATGTGGTGGTAACAAAAAGAAATTCTTGAGAACGATTTGATTAATTGGGGACGAAATTAAACTACGGGAAAAGTTTGAATTTCGTTCAGAATTATTGAGACAAATGGCTTCGGACAAGGTCACAATTATTTAAAGAACAAAGTTTTCATGGTCGACCGGATTTTGATTAATTATGCAGGAAATTGGGCCTACTTTTCCTACCATTTGACACGCAAGGATAATTTATAAGTTTAAATTTCCTGCTAACTTATTTTCAGCTATAGTATTGCGTTATGGACCTAATAATTTTAAGGACTGTGTTCTTATGGTTGTTCGGATTTTGATTATTTATGCATGAAATTTTTACATATTTTATATTGTTTCTCACTCCAGGAAAATATATAAGTTTAAATTTCCTGCTAAATTATTTCCAGCTGTAATATATAGTTACCGACAATGTGTTAATTTTATTCCCAATTGAGGGACTATGTTTTCAAGATAATTTGGATTTTGATTAATTAATTATGCACAAAATTCAACCTATTTTCTATTTTCAACGAAATATATAAGTTCAAATTTCGCGCCCAATTTTTATCATGCGCGGAAACATATGGTTACGGACATGGTCACAATTAAAATTCCCAATTTATTTAAAGTGCCATTATTGAATTCTCTTGAATTTTGATAAATGCACGAAATTGAATCTATTTCCTACCATTTCGCACTGCAGGAAAATCTATTTCATGCCAAATTACCGTTACGGACAAGGCGCCAATTATAAAAATTTTAAATAAAACTCACATTTTCTCCATAGTTCGGATAAGTGAAATTCTTCGAACAGAAGATCGACGAGATGGTAATATTGATGAGGGACTCGTTCAAGCAAAGAGAGTATCCTTCCCCCCCTGGTGGGCCCCCCACTCCGCCGACATCCCCGCCCATTTCCGTCTCATAGTCCCCCCCTCCTCCGCCACTTTCCATCAAAAGCAACCCGTCCTCCTCCCCACTCTCCATCCTTTTCTTCTGGGAAGAAATCAAGAATCAAGAATTGTGGGCAGCAAACGCAAACTTCTTCTTTTTCAGAGAGACTCGATCCTCATTCGGAACCTGGAAAACGAAAAAAGTGAAAGTTTGGTTGAGCAGATTTTCACAATTGGCCCTGATTGGCGGAGATGATTGGAATGCAGGAGAGATAACGGAAAAGGAAAGTAAACTTATATAAATTGTTTGTCGTCGCTTTCTCTTTTTGAAAACCAGACGGAAAATTTGTGGAGAGTGAGAGAGATAGAGAGATGATGCAAAAAATGAGAAATGTGTACAGTGTTTCGGGTGAAAGTAGATAGCCACTTGCAAGAAATAACGCGAACGAAAGTGTTTTTCTTATAGGTAAATATTTTGACCTGCAAGAATTTCAAGGTGCTAGAAACGACGCCCCGCCGCTGAAAATTGCACTTTCTCCCAATTTCTTGCACCTATCATTTCTTGCGTTTCTTATTTTTCACTGCAAACAAAATCAGCAAAACTTTCAAGGTACGAAACACAGGGTGAAAGTAGTCCCTGTTTATCACGTATTTCGGGTGATAGTAACTAATAGGAGAAAAAGGAGAAATAGGAGAAAATGTGTTTCTTTACTGATATTTTGACCTGCACAAAATGAAAAACGCAAGAAACTATGGCCAGGCGCTATACTTCATACGACGCATGGCTAGTTTCCGCATATTTCTTGCACCTCGAATTTCTTACGTTTCTGGCTTTCCAGTGCAAAAAACATAGCAAACCTGCGGCCGCAAGAAACATAACATTGACCGAAAACATTGACGACAAACCTCAATTTTCTTAAATATTTCTGCCCTCTCTTTTGAAACCTAGACCACCCGTTTTCCCCGTGTCACTCACTTTCACTACTAACAAAATTATGGTCTAACGGGACAATCGAGAACGTGGACCCGGTCTGATTTCTAACCATTCAATTCAATCAACCCTCCATCCAACAACTTCCGTTTGTGGGTTGGGAGTGAAAAACATGTCATTTCTTATCGGAAACCGTGTCATGTTTTTTTCTGCACGGGGGAAAATATCCTCTGTAATTTATTCCCACGTGAAGAACGACGCTCGTTCGTTACGTTACGTGACGTGACGATGAAGAAGAAGAAAGCAGTCGTCACTGTCACGTACATTTGCACCGCATTGTGGGCCAGGCCAGCCCATAGTCGCAGCTGGGGGGCTGTTATTGTGCCAAACTTTGTAGGAAAAAAAGGAGGTAACGAACGGTACGTGTCGAGCCCTTGGGGGATGCGACGTCAGGGAAAGGACACCACCACCATAACCACACTCTTAGAAAATTGGGGTATTAAATCATTACTGGCCGGAGTATAAATGTAATTTACTCCTTTTTCAAGCTACACCAGGATTTTGTAGCGAGTTATGTCAAAAAATCTAGCCAAAAATTAGGAAGAACGTGGTACTCATCTTTCCGTTGCATAGCCCATTTAATGAAAAATATTAGGGGCAAAGTTCACCCTTCCGGTTTGGTTTTCATTTTGTGAGTGAAAGTTTGCCAAAAACTATAGTGTTTTAAAAGTTTTCAACTGTTTTTCCAAAAGTTAAATTTTGTTTCGCTTTTTCATCTACGGGGCGAAAACCAAGGCGAACGCATGAACTTTGCCAACCAATATTTTTTCAAAGGAGCCGTTCAAGGGAATAATAAGTGTCATATGATTCCTAATTTTTGGCTTAATTTTTTGTTATAACTAGCTACAAAATCCCAATGTAGCTTGAAAAAGGTTCCATTTTCAGAAACAATCTACTACTACCAATCCGGTAAGAAATTATTACCAGATCAATACCAGCCATATGGAGTATATGTATGTATCTAATACTATCTACCACATTTTTAACAGTGCACCACAAAATTTGTATGCTGCCCGAGACACGTGGACTGAAGTTGAATTGAGAACTAAAAAGTGAAAGCAGTACATATTATTTACAGTTTGACGAAGTGGGGATCACAATTAATTCGGCTCTCAAACTGAAGAGCAAGTGATTAAGAACAATGCGCAAATGAAGGTGCTTTTGTCTCCCGGTGCGATTATGTGACCCTGGCTTAAGCTCGCCAAAGTGGAACTGCGACATGAAAGAGAGAGATTACAGGCAATGAATGGAGGTCTCCCAGCGGATGCTGCCCGATTTGGGCAAACTACTCTCAATCAAGGACAAATTTAATTAGGATGAAATTTGCGAAAGACACGATCTCCCAATGGGCACGTTTGGCAGAGATATTTGCATCCGAAGAGGAGAAAACGCGCAGTACAGTCGACTAATTTTACACTTTCCAAATTTACTTTGAGCTTTCTCCTCTTGGGATGCAAATATCCCTGCTAAACGTGCGTATTCAGAGCACGTGTCTTTTGCAAATTAGGTATGGAATACAATTTCTTATCGATTGACACTAATTTCGCAATCTCACCACACACATCACAACTTTAATTAGCCCACCCAATGCGCAAGTTTGCCAAATATATTTGCACCTGAAGTGGAGAAAACGTGCAGTAAATTTCGAAAGTGTGAAATTTGTCAATTTTTGGGCCCACTTTCTCCTCTTAGGATGCAAACATCATCTCTGCGAAACGCGCCCATTGGGAGATCGTGTCTTTCGCAAATTTCATTCTAACTAATTTTGTCCTCGATTTACACTAGTTTGCTCAAAATCGGACCACATACACTGGGAGACCTCCATTGTGATATTTGCGGAATAGTGGCACACAAAGAGGAATAAGTATCTTTAACAAGGAGAAGGGGCAATCATCGCATGCCGAGCAGTGTATGTATGTTCAGCAGCGGCATGAATGAGACTGCCGACAGTGAGGAATGACTTTGGCAGCGGATCGACAAAGACGCATCGTTCAGGCATCAATTGAGTTTCGAATGGTTTAGTTAGCAGTGGGGATGATGATGAGATGGGTCGTCGCTGAGCTCGAGAGGTATTTTCTCCCGCCTGCCAGTTGCACTGCTCGTTATGTATGGGACGAGATGTGAGGGTTTATGTTATTATTAGACAGATAATATTTTTTGGTAGTGTGGCGGATTTGCTACATTTCTTGCAGGGAAATGCGGGAAAAGCAAGAGATTCGAGGTGCAAGAAACTGGGAGAAAGTGCAAGAAATAAGCGCCATCTAGCCACGCGCTGTATGAAGTATTTGTAGCGGCGGGACGTTGTTTCTTGTGCCTTGCATTTCTTGCACGTCGTCAAAATAATTACCCGCAAAAAACCACTTTCTTTCCCTTATTTCGGGCAAGTAAAATTGTGCAAGTCTCGATTTTTCTTGCAGCTGGTTACTTTCACCAGGAACACGGGGTGAGCAGTGACTACTTTCACCCAGTGTTTCTTTTCTTGTGGGTTATATGCATTTCTTGCACTGTAAAGCTAGAAAAGCAAGAAATGAGAGATGCAAGAAACTGGGAGAAAGTGCAAGAAATATATTGTCCATCTGCATTTCTTGCAGGTCAAAATACCAGTATCTTCCAGTTATTTAAGTGGTTACTTTCACCCGAAACATTGCTTTCTCTTGGGGGGGAAAGTGTGTACGTGGCTGAATGGATGGTGATGATACGTATGTTGCCGTTTCAATCAATCCGTACAGAAATGTGGGCTCCGTGGGGATTTCTACTTATGGAGAAAGCTACTCCCCTCGCGGTGATGTGATGTGATGACCATGCATATTTTCCCTGCTCCTGCCGGGGACACATTTTCACGTCCAGCGGCAACAATTGGGTAGACGTAAAGGACGACTAAAAAAGGCCATTCATCAAAGTGCAAGAAGACCTGCTGGCTGGCATGCAGTGGCCGCGGAAGCGTGGGTGGGGACAGAGGGACAATGCCCCCACGGTTGTTCGATGTCCGCATCATCTCCCCATCTTATACAAACCCCTCCCTCCCCTATCCTACAATGTTAACGTCCCCCGATGTCCCCACAGCTTCCGCGGCCACTGGGAGAATTCAGGCTACTCAAAAGTATTAACATGATGCAGTGGCCGCGGAAGCATGAGCACAGAGGGGCAATGTCCCCATTGTTGTTCAATGTCCGAATCATCTCCCCATATTATACAAACTCTACCCTCCCCTATCCTACAATGTTAACGTCCCCCGATGTCCCCACAGCTTCCGCGGCCACTGGGAGAATTCAGGCTACTCAAAAGTATTAACATGATGCAGTGGCCGCGGAAGCATGAGCACAGAGGGGCAATGTCCCCATTGTTGTTCAATGTCCGAATCATCTCCCCATATTATACAAACTCTACCCTCCCCTATCCTACAATGTTAACGTCCCCCGATGTCCCCACAGCTTCCGCGGCCACTGGGAGAATTCAGGCTACTCAAAAGTATTAACATGATGCAGTGGCCGCGGAAGCATGAGCACAGAGGGGCAATGTCCCCATTGTTGTTCAATGTCCGAATCATCTCCCCATATTATACAAACTCTACCCTCCCCTATCCTACAATGTTAACGTCCCCCGATGTCCCCACACCTTCCTCGGCCACTGGCTCGCACTACCAGGACCACACACCACCCACCCACACAACCTGCCAGCCTCCCTTCATGAAAAGAAGTCAAAAGTAAAAAGCGCTCCGTTTTTCATTTCACTTTCACCACTTTCGCCAAGCCAACCAGGAACTGAGCGACACAAAACACGCGAAACTCCAAAGTACTGAAAGGACCCGCAAAAACACGAAAGGAAGGAAACTCCACACCAAACCAAACCTCAAAAACCAATGGATGGATGGATGGACGAACAAACAACCAACTGTAAAAAGGGGAACCTTGACACGCGAGGAGAGCTATGTAGAAAGAAAGAATAAGCATTCAAGGTCTCAAATGCGACGGTAATGAATCAGAAGAAAAAACATGACCGACTCATGGAGGAACGAAATATATGTGTTTCTC